CTCTGGCACCACCGCTTAGGTCACCCTGCTCTCCCGCGTCTGCGTCACATGTCCCAGCACGGTCTTGTCTTAGGTCTCCCCGCGTCGCTCCCTGCACTTCCTCCCTCGACTGCGCCACCGTGCACGCCTTGCGTCGAGGGTCGGCTCCGCCGTGCTCCTCACTCCTCGCTGCGCCCTGCTACTGCCCCCCCTTCAGACCCTGCACCTGGACGTTTGGGGCCCTGCCCCCGTCCCCGGACCCGCGCGGTGAGCGCTACTTCCTTGTGCTCGTCGACGACTACACGCGCTACACCACGGTGTTTCCCCTGGAGCGGAAGGCCGACGTGCCCGACGTTCTTCTCCCGTGGGTTGTGGCTGCGCGTCTCCACCGCGGTCTCCCTGTGTTGTGTCTCCACTCCGACCGTGGCGGCGAGTTCGCCTCTGGTCGGCTTGGACAGTTCTGTCGTGCAGAGGGCATCACCCAGTCGTACACCTAGCCGGACTCGCTACAGCAGAATGGGGTTGCTGAGCGCCGCATCGGCTTGGTCATGGAGGTCGCCCGTACCTCCATGATCCATGCCGATGCCCCCCATTTTCTGTGGTCGTTCGCTGTTCGCTACGCTGCTCACCAGCTTAACCTGTGGCCACGCTCCTAGCGGCCGCAGGTTTCGCCGACCCTCCTTTGGACCGGGTCCCCCGGTGACGCGTCTGCGTTCCACGTCTGGGGCTGCCTTGCTCACGTTCGTGCCTCTGGCACGGACAAGCTCACTGCCCGCACTGTCCCCTGTGTCTTCCTCGGTTTCCCCCTGGACTCGTCTGATTGGCTTTTCTACCACCCGCCGTCTCACCGCTTCCTCCACTCTCGTGACGTCACCTTTGACGAGTCCGTCTCCTTCTACCGCCGCTTCCCTCACCGGGGTCTCCCAGTTGCCCCCCCCCTGTTCCTTGCTCCCTCTCCCCCGGTAGCCCCTGCCCCTCTCCCGCCTCGTCCTGCCCCGTCTGGTGTCTCTCACGTCACTCCCCTCCCGTCGGTTGTCCCCGTTGAGGAGTCTGCTGACTCTGGTGGTACCCCCGGTCTATCCTTGCCGCGTCCCCCTTCCCCGGTGCCTCCGCCCCCCCTGTCGCAGTCGCCGACCCCGCAGCAGCCGCCGCAGCCGTCGCCGCCGCAGCCGTCGCCGCCGCAGTCGTCGCCGCCACTGCCGCCGCCGCTCTTGGCCCCTGGGGGTGCTGGTGTGGAGGAGGGTGTTACATCCTGCGGCTTCTGGGGGTGCCGCTGGTGTTGGCGGGGGTTCTCGCTCTGGGGGTGTTGGTTCTGGGGGTGCTGCTGTTGAGTGTTCTGCCGACGGTCGTTCTGCCTCTGCTGGTCCGAGAGTTCCGGCCCAGCCGTCGTCGCCGCCCGCAGCAGCCGTCGCCGCCGGTCTCCGCTCTCCGCCTGCTCGGCCTTCCCTCCCCGGACCGCGCGACGGTGTCTCCCCCACCGCCTGCTGACCTCCCTGTCTACGGTCCTGTGTTCCCGCCGCCGGACTCGTCTCCGGCCCGTCTTCCTCCTCGTTCCCCTCCTGTGTCTCCTCCGCTGTCCCCTGACCCTACCCCTCCGTCTCACGTTTGGGCTCGCCGTCCCTCCCGTGCTCGTCCCGTCTCTCCTGTCCTGCCCACCCACCCTATGTTGCTCCGTTCCCGCTCGTCTCGTCCTCCCCTCCTCCCGTCCCCTCCTCCCTCGTCCCTTGCTGTTGCCCCTCCTCCGTTCTCTGACTACCTCCGTGCCGCTCGTCCCCTTGTCCCTCGGGTCCTTGCCTCTCTTGTTACCGACACCGCTGTTCCTGTCTCACGCCTTGATGCGCTTGTCGCTGTTGTCGCTGACTTCGCCTCTACCCACCGCCTTGACTACGCTACCGCTCTGGTCTCTGACCCTGCCCGTCCTCCGTCCGTCGGGGGTGCTCCTGCCCTTGGCAGTGACGCCCTAGAGGACAGGCAGTATGAGCTTGCTTTCCTTTCCGAGGCTGCTCCCCATCTCTGCTCCATGCTGTTAGTCCCTGAGGGTGACCCAGACGCTTTCGACATCCCGACCCCTCGCACCTACGCTGAGGCCACCTCGGGACCTTGGGCCTCTCAATGGATAGCTGCCATGGAGCAGGAGATGGCATCTTGGAGGTCCACCGGCACATACGTCGACGCAGTTCCCCCGCCTGGGGTGAACGTAGTCGATGGTCGGTGGCTCTTCAAGGTGAAGCGCCCCCCTGGAGAGCCGCCTGTCTTCAAGGCGCGCTACGTGGCCAGAGGTTTCAGTCAGCGTGAGGGGGTTGACTTCTTCAACACCTTCGCCCCGACCCCGAAGATGACCACTCTTCGGGCGCTGCTACACGTAGCAGCACAGCGTGACTACGAGCTTCACTCCCTCGACTTCTCTACTGCCTTTCTTCAGGGCAGCCTATGTGAGAGTACGACCCCGTTACACCACTTGGCCTTTTCTTATTTCCTTCCTTTTTCATTTCTCTTTTATTCCATCTCATTTGGTTACCTATTCTTCCTTTTCCATTAACCTTTGGGTTATCCTGCTATTATACTTATATCACCGACCAGGCTTGGGATGTACTGGTGCGCTATCTGGCGTAATCCTGCCGTAATCCCTTCAAGCCAATAGCCTCGCGTGGCTATACGCAGGGTGCTTCTATCTTCTAGAAGGGTCTATTCCCTTAGGATAAGATAAACATGGTTACCTGATGTACTTTGGAAGTATAAAAGCACCTTGTACTGATCGTTAGTGCAACCTTTCCTCGACACATTCGATCCTGTGACACTTGGTAATCAGAGCTTTTCTCACTCGACCGCGCTCAGCTAAGCAACAGCAGCGGGGATCCTGCCTCGAAAAACCGCCGGGGGCGACCAATTCGACGCCGATTCTGGTAAGCACCAGCTCCGCGATTTTCGAATTACCCCCTCCGTGCGTGTTTTGAACAGGATGGCAACCTTCGACAACGCCGAGGTTACCTAGCAGCTCTTCGCGCGCATCGCAGCCCTTCAGGAGGAAATGCGAGCGGATCGCGAAGCGTGGCGAAACCAGTTCGAGCGAGTAACTCGACTCGCCGGAGCGCAGCACGAGACGACAACGGCAACGATGCAGCAGTCGCAGCAGTTTCTCGAGGCTCCGAAACCGCGCCCACCTGAGCCGTTCGATCCGAGCGATCGAAACTCCGACGCCCGCATATGGATCGCCGGGATGGAGATCTACTTCGCAGCCGTCGGATGGAGCTCGCCAGTCTGGGACGGACAACGTGTACGACTCGCGGCGACACTGATGCGAGGGCCGGCACTCGAGTGGATTGGCGGCAACAGTACTTTCATCCACGGTGAAGCCACGTGGCGGTAGTTCCGCACCGACCTGCTGAAACGATTCGAGCCGATAAATTCGAGTTTCCTTGCCCGGGAAAAAAATCATCGACACCGACAGTTCGGGAGTGTAGCGCAGTAGATGGAAGAATTTTATAACCGCATTCCCGATCTGACCAAAGGGGAAAAAGTACAATCGTACCTCGCCGGGCTGAAGACCGAAGTCAAACAACAAGTCGCAGCGTCAAACTACGCGAGCTACAGTGACGTCGTTTCGGCAGCGGAGCGCTTCGACATGGTCAACGCCGGAACACGACAGACGCACGTCGGCAGTACGCGACAGGGCGACCGCTCGGCTCACCCCACGTTCGCCGACCCGATGGAAGTTGACAGATTCGAGGGGCGGCCACGTCCGAAAAACACCAACTACACGAGTGATTTTTGCGGGGTGCCGGGTCATCGAATCTTCGACTGCAGCAAAATGAAGGCCGCACGCGCAGAGTATCGGGCACGCAACAGTAGCGGAATTCCTCCAGCCAATCAGAAGCCAAAAAACGGGAGTCGCCAGTGATTGCGGATCTAGTTGGCGAAAATAAAAAGATCCGAAAACGGCCGCGGGATTCCGGAAAAATCAAACTTCGACGAAGCTGATTCGACGCGAGGAGGAAATGATGGGGGAAAATCTCCACCCCACGACCAGTCCTCGCCAGGGAAAATCGCCGAGGCAAAATACGACTCCGCGAAGAAAGACTCTGCCGAGACAGGGAAACTCCTTGAAGACCCAAGAAATTATAAGAATTGGTTAAAGTTATCTTATAAAGATGCTTTAATGAAAACTTATGAATTTCGAGGGGCTAGAGCCTTGGAGAAATTTCGGGAGGGACTCCAAAAGAAGCAGACAACTGTGGAGATTATACCGGTACCAGACAACTTGGGGACCAAATTAAGGAGTGTGGAAAGAAGCCGACCTTTCCACGGAGTCAACGTCCTCTCCCGACACCAGCCCACAACGACCACCCGTTCCCCAGGGAAGACGTCGGTGGAGCTGAAGCAGCTCCAGAGGAAGCTGGGGGTCTACAAGAAGCTGCACAAACCCCGAATTCCTTCTCCTACGGATGCATCCAGTTCTTCGGCATCAGTGACGCGCACAGTCGTCAAGGAAACTCCGGGCCCTGGAGAAGAGCCGTTCTCCAAGCAACCTCGGCCAGCTGCCAGCTCAGGAGTAGATAGCAACACAAAGGTGTGTACGGAGTATTGGGATGTACCCTATGACCCAATCAATGAAACTATCTTTGGGTACTCCGAGCAACGACTACCCCTCGTGCTCGAGGTCATCTGCAAAGGACGACGCCTCCAAGCACTCGTGGACAGCGGAGCGTCACACACCGTCTGCAACAAGGCAGTAATCGACCAACTTCGGGGAGGGTACAAGCCTTCAGGATTCTCTGCAACGATGGTGGACGGCAGCAAGTTACCAGTATACGGCGAAGCAGTGCTACACCTACAAATCGGACCACTGCGCTGGAGACCTGCACTCCCCATCACCAACATCAAAGGGCTTGACCTGATCTTCTGGCGAGACTTCCTGAAAAGATTCAACCCCGAGATCAACTGGGTGAACCGCACCGCAAGCATCGACAACAATGGACGGAGAGTACAGCTACCCAACTGGGACGATACTGGAGATATCCCAGTGGAGACACTCGCACGATTCGAGAAGGACGTGAAGCGAACCGACACCGGGTTCCTGGCGATAGCAACAGAGGTGGAGAATGACGGAGAGAAAGCCTCGGAACCTCCAGGAAACATCAAGGAATTATTGAAAGCGTTCCAAGACATTCTTCCTGACGATCTTCAGAACGAGCTACCGCTATACCGAACGCATCAGCACGAGATCGTGGAGGAACCGGGTTCGAAGCCGACCTTCCGAGCACCATATCGGCTCAGCCCTACAGAGCTGACCGACATGAAAAAACAAATTGAGTATCTCCTAGCCAAAGGACTCATCCGACCATCCACTTCGCCGTACGGTGCCCCAGTACTCTTCACACCGAAACCGGACGGAAGCCTGCGCATGTGCATCGACTACCGAGCTCTTAACAAGCAGACCATCAAGAATAAATATCCGATACCACGAATCGATGACCTACTTGACCAGCTTCGGGGAGCTACGGTATTTTCCAAACTGGATCTGCGGTCCGGATACTGGCAAGTTTACCAGCAAGTTCTGGAATGAACTTATGTCTCTTCTCGGGACCAAACTCGCCATGTCATCCGCTTACCATCCGCAGACAGACGGACAGACCGAGCGCCTCAACCAAATTGTTGAGCAACTCCTCCGAGCAGCCTGCAAGGACGAGATCTCCAAATGGGACTTGCACCTGCCCGTACTAGAGTTTGCTTACAACAATGCTACACATGCCGCTATGGGACAGACGCCGTTCTTCCTCTGCTACGGACGTCACCCACTCACACCACAAAAACCGACCACATCCGCTACGGTACAACCTGCACATGATTTCATCACAACCATGCATCAGCTTTGGGATCGGACCCACAAGCGCCTCCTCGACATTCAGCAGCAACAATAACGCCAGGCCGATCGCCATCGCAACGACCAAACCATCACGGTGGGAGACCAGGTGCTTCTTGACACCCGCAACCTGGACATCAGCCACCTCCCATCTAAACTTCGACCTCGCTTCTGCGGGCCTTTTCTCGTTGAAGCACAGGTCACTCCTGTTACCTTCCGCTTACGCCTGCCAGCTACCTGGAAGATTCACAACGCCTTCCATGTCGAGCTTCTGAAGCCCTATCGGGATCCGAACACGATCTTCGTCGGACGCCAACCGCCGCCGCCGCCGCCCGTCCTCGTCCAGAATGAACCCGAGTATGAGGTCGAATCCGTGCTTGCACACCGCCGACGTCGGAATGGCGTCGTGGAACTTCTCATCCGTTGGAAGGGTTATGATCCTTCTGAGGACAGCTGGGTACCTGAGTCCGACATGGGTAACGCCCGTCGTCCTCTGCATGACTACCTTGTCAAGGAGGGTGTTACTTCTACCACCCAGCTTTGAAGGGGGGAAGTGTGAGAGTACGACCCCGTTACACCACTTGGCCTTTTCTTATTTCCTTCCTTTTTCATTTCTCTTTTATTCCATCTCATTTGGTTACCTATTCTTCCTTTTCCATTAACCTTTGGGTTATCCTGCTATTATACTTATATCACCGACCAGGCTTGGGATGTACTGGTGCGCTATCTGGCGTAATCCTGCCGTAATCCCTTCAAGCCAATAGCCTCGCGTGGCTATACGCAGGGTGCTTCTATCTTCTAGAAGGGTCTATTCCCTTAGGATAAGATAAACATGGTTACCTGATGTACTTTGGCGGTATAAAAGCACCTTGTACTGATCGTTAGTGCAACCTTTCCTCGACACATTCGATCCTGTGACAGCCTACACGAGCAGGTCTACCTGCGCCGACCACAGGGCTTCACTGGTACCTTCCCTCCTGGGACCCAGTGCCTTCTCAGGCGCCCGGTCTACGGCCTGCGTCAGGCTCCCCGCGAGTGGCACGACACGCTACGTGCCACGTTAGCAGACCTGCAGTTCTTTCCGTCCTCTACTGACCCTTCACTGTTTGTGCGTTCCGGCCAGACTCCGTTCTACATCCTTGTCTACGTAGACGACCTGGTCTTCGCTACTCCTGACAGGGACGCACTGGCCTATGTGAAGGCTGAGCTGCTGAAGAGACACACCTGCACTGACCTTGGAGAGCTGCGTCGCTATCTTGGCCTGCAGATCTCTAAGGACAGAGCAGCACGCACCATCACTCTGACCCAGTCACACTTGGTGCGTCAGGTCCTTCAGAGGTTCGGTCTTCAGTTCTCCTCCGCACAGCCCACACCTCTACCCGTAGACCATGGGCTCTCTGCTCCCGTTCCTGAGGAGCCAGTAGAGCCCAGTGGCCCCTACGCAGAGCTGGTGGGTTGCCTCATGTACCTGATGACTTGCACGCGCCCAGATCTCGCATACCCTCTCAGCATCCTGGCTCGCTTTGTGGCCACAGGCAGACACCGACCTCAGCACTGGTCTGCCGCTAAGAGGGTTTTGCGTTATCTTGCTAGTACATCGGGCATGGGGTTGGTGCTAGGAGGACGCGGGCCAGTGGTCCTTACTGGGCACACAGACGCTTCTTGGGCAGACGACGCTGAGACGCTCTGGTCGTCGCAGGGCTACTGTTTCAGCCTTGGTTCGGGTGCTATCTCTTGGAGATCCACTCGCTCGTCGTCTGTGGCTCAGTCTAGCTGTGAGGCTGAGATCTACGCTGGTGCCATGGCGGCACAGGAGCTCCGCTGGCTGACCTTCTTGCTCACAGACTTAGGTGAGCGGCCTAGCTCTGCCCCGGTCCTGTACGCTGACAACAGGGCCATGATACTCCTGTGTCAGGAGCCTCGGCTTGAGGGCAGAGCGAAGCATATCGAGCTGCGGTACTTCCTCCTGCGCGAGCTACAGCAGCGCCGCCAGGCCCGCGTAGTTCACTTGGCCTCTGGTGCCAACACAGCTGATATCTTCACTAAGGCGCTTGCGCCTAAAGATCATCAGCGGCACTGTGTACAGCTTGGTCTTGTTCCTGTAGCTGCTCCCCTGTTAGGATCCTGATTGTGTACTCTCTATTATATATGCCTGTCAGACTGGCCTTGTGGCCTTACCTTCAGAGGCTGGACTAGTAGTGCCACCCTGGTTTGCTTTAGTTTTGGTTGTATTCTTGCTGACTGGTCTCCAGACCCCTGCCTCAGTGGTTGGACTAGTAGTGCCGCCCTGAGATGTTTGCTTCTTGTTTAGTTTCACCCCTTGTCTAGCCTAGGGGGTGTGTCAACTTATACATATTAGCTATGTAGAAGTTATAGGCTAGACTGAGGTATGCTTCTAGTGAGTACAACCAACTAGTATTTGTCTAGGTTTCCATCTCTAGTTATCATTCCTTCTCACGTTAACACGACCGCAGCACTGGTCTGCCGCTAAGAGGGTTTTGCGTTATCTTGCAAGTACATCGGGCATGGGGTTAGTGCTAGGAGGACACAGGCCAGTGGTCCTTACTGGACACACAGACGCTTCTTGGGCAGACGACGCCAAGACTCTCAGGTCTTCCCAGGGCTACTGCTTTAGCCTTGGTTCAGGTGCTGTCTCGTGGAGAGCTACCCGTTCCTCGTCTGTTGCCCAGTCCAGCTGTGAGGCTGAGATCTATGCTGGTGCCGTGGCGGCACAGAAGCTTTGCTGGCTGACCTTCTTGCTCACTAACTTAGGTGAGCGGCCTAGCTCTGCCCCAGTCCTGTACGCTGATAACAGGGCCATGATCCCGTAGAGGGATTTTATCAGCTAGCACTAGAACAAAGATCCTAAGGGCTTTTCTCAGCCCAACACTCATTGCTGCGAGGAAGTCTGTAGATCCTTCCGCATGATCTGAAAAACACCACAGGTTGGTGCTTGCATAGGTGACCAGACCAACCACAATCTGTTGTAGTCAGACGAGCTGATCCCTTTTTTTCCTTGACGAAGGGTTGAGTAGCTCATGGGTCATGGCTCATTTGTGTGAGCATATTTTGTGCATGGGTTTTCCATCAATATTGAAAGCTGGTTGCTTGGTGCCGTGTATCAAGCTGCACCGCACCAGTGTAGTTCACCAAACAAGTTTTGTAGGAAGCCTCGAGGATGCCGCAGAGCAGCCACTGTTCATTTCCCGCGCTCTCCGCCATCCCTTCCCTTCCCGCCTTTCCCCTCAGCCCTGCTCCTCAGAAGCCACTTCCTGCTTTCCTGACAACGTCCATTCCGCCTTTTCCGCCAAGCCCCTCCGTCTGCCTCTCATTCAACCGCCGCCATTCGTTCCACTTTTTGCCATTCTCCACACATGAAGATGGCAAGTTCAAAGCGCTTCAGTATATACGGCTCTCCGCCTTGCACGCTGCGAAGTCGTCGGACTGGCAATCTATCCAGCGAGACCGCGACCCCTTTCGTGCTCAACCTTAGCTACCCACCCGCCCACCCATCTTTGGCGTCTCTCGCCTTCTCTCTTCCCCGTCGCCTCGCCTCTGCTTGCCTCCTCTGCGTGGCGCCGGCACTGTTAAGTGCGTCGCACACACGGGCTCATCGTCGCGAGTGTCCTCTAGTCGCTCGATTCATCAGCGCGCCAATCAGCTGAGCGGGAGTCGGTCGCGGGGCATCAGCGCAGCGCAAATCTGCGCGCAGCGATGAAGGCGGCGAAGGCCCTCATGGTGGCGTCGGCGGGCGTAGCCGTGGCGGTGTCAGTGGGCCTCATGGCGCTCGCCATCTACCTCGCACTCAGGTACCCGCGCGCTCACCCCTCCTGCTGCTTCGTGCCCATCCGCGCGTCCGCCATCGCTCGCCTGCGCCCTCCTCCGCGAGCGCCTGTCTGTGTCCGCTTCACGCTGCCTTCCATTCCCCACGGCTCCTCACCTCCCGACCCGTCTCCCCGTCTCCCCGTCTCCCCGCGCACCCTCCCCCCACCCCACTTCTGCGTGTCCCCCGTCAACGGCAGCGGCAGCGGCAGCGCGTGCGCGCAGCGGTTGGACGTGCCGGGGAACGTGCTGGGCGCGGTGCTGTTCGGCGCGGGCGTGCTGGGGCTCATCGGCGCGCTTGCAGACGAGGGGTGCCTCGAGTGGCTGTTCCTCTGCTGCTCCACCGCCCTCACGCTGGCGCTGCTGGCGTACGCAGGTGGGCGGCAGTGTTGCTGTTGATTCAATAGCCCCCCTTAACCATTTCGCCCATTCCAACCCCACACGTACCTCGTCTCACGCCCGCTCATTTGTGCCTTGTCTCCCTGTCAAGCCCTAGAACTCATTCCATGCTGCCCTTCTCCCACCTGCCCTCGCCTTTTCCCTCCCCTTCCCAACCCTGCAGCCTTCGCCCTGGCAGTGAGTACCCCCAGTCCCAGCACTTCAACGGGCCCAGCAGGCCAGCCGGTGTACACGGTGACGGACTTCTCCCCCTGGCTGCAGGGGCTAGTGGCGCAGCCCGATGCATGGGTGAAGATGTGGGCCTGCCTGGTCGCCAACAACTCCTGCCCTGCACTGCCACGGCCTTGGGGTGGTGCTGGGGACGAGATGGCAGGGATAAGCCATAGCAGCAGCAGTGGCAGCAGCAGCAGCAGTGTTGCAGCTGCGTCAGGTGGCTCTGGCGACCAAAGGCCATCAGTGATTCAGAGTGGCTGCTGCTTCCCACCCACCCCGTGCAGCGACATCACCGCCCTTACCTCACCACCTGCCCTGCCACCTGCCCCATCACTCGCCCTCTCACCAGGACCCGCACCTGCACCGTCCATGCCTGAGTCGGTGCAGGCTGGCAACCATTCTAGGCTAGCACTCCTTAATGCTGCTGCTCAAACCAATGCGACAGCCCTCCTTAACTGCAGTGCCGCTGATCCAGGCTCAGGTGGAGGGTGCTTCAGCTGTGAGGCGTGCAAGGCAGCGCTGCTCAAGGTGGTGAGGGACGACCTCTGGCTGGCGGGCTGCGTGTGCGTGGCTGCTGCGTGCGTGCTGCTCTTGCTGCTGTGTGTAGGCGGTTATGCCCATGTTGTGTTGAGGGGAGAGAGGAGAGCCAAGGCGATAGAGGAGATGAGGGATGAGGATGACTATTCCTGTGGAAGCCTGTGCAGCGGCAATGGTTCATGCGGGGACTGCTGCGAATGTGCACTTCAATGTTGTTCCATGTGGGCCAATTGCTTGGGCGAATGCGGTAGGTGATGCTTTGGTACCCAACCCACTAAAGGAGGGTGTACATAGTGCATATCGGTTTTGTCATTTGGGAAATATACCGACTGTCAAAAGTTGAGGCAAGGTGGGCACATGCCGAGTTTCTCTTTAGCGCGTTGACCAGCGCGAGTGAGATCCAGCCTGGCGTGCCTGTCGCCTTGCTTTTGTGCCCTTGTTGCCTTCCTCCCCGCCTCGCACTCGCTCCTCGAGAATCTCATTCCGCCTCAGGCCGCCAGCTGCCCCACCTGGCCTCCCTCCAGGTGCCTTAGGCGCACAGCACTGTACGATTCGACCTGCCGCCGCATTTACTCGTGCGACTGAATCCGCTGAGCTGCGATTGAGTTGGTGCAGCGACGGTTGTTGGGTGCGCGACTGAGCTGGCAGGGGGTGGTGGTGCCATGGCTGCCATGGCAATGGCATGTGATGTGAGCAGCGAGCGCGTGACGACCAGCATTTTTGGGATTCGGCCAGCACTGACCACTCCGCCGCAGTGGTCATTTCTCCAAGCGTGCAGCTCACCTGCTCGCTGCCGTGCACTTCAAAATGCTCTCCGCCCCTCTCACATCGTCGGTCTGCCATTCCCTCACGCACGCCACATTCCTCTGCGAGCAACCATCGCGTTGCGCTCGTCGTCAGGCCGTTCCGTTCCGTTCAGTTCAGTCCATTCCATTTGCGCCCATCGCTCGCATGCGCCGTTGCTTCGCCGCACCGCCTTCCACGGGTGAAGGCAAGCTGCACGCTAGTTCCTATAGGCGCTCGATCACGGAGTGTGCCTATTTCGAGCACCGAACAGCCGCGTCGCTTCGGCGACGGGTGGATGACAGTCACGTGCTCCAGCTGTTCTCGTCGAGCGGTTGAATGCCCATGGTGAACGGACGGTTCAGATGCAACGGAGCTGATCCCCGAAGCCGCTACACGCGCAACACCAACGACAACAGCCGGCGAAGGGGTAGATAAGGCGTTACGAGGCTGGGTAAACAGCGGTGTAAGTGTCATTCCTGGTAGAAGATTACTATAGTGCACGTAGTAGAGAGGCAGGCAGGCAGGCAGGCAGGCAGGCACGAGGCAAGAGGCATCCGGCAAGAGCAGCCAGTCGCGATGAGGACGGAGAGGCTGCTGACGGCCATCGCCAACACCATCATCCTCTGCCTCGCGCTCGCGCTCATCGGCGTCGCGCTGTACGCCACGTGAGCTCGCCGCCCAGCGCGTGCCTGATAATGTACCAGACGCCGCTGATGGGCATCGGCGCGGTGCTGTTCATCGGCGCGCTTGTGGGGCTGCTGGCGCTGGTGTGCGAGAACGGGTGCCTCGTGTGCATGCAGCTCACCGTCTCCTTCGCCGGCATGTGGGCGCTCCTCGCCTTCGCCAGTACGCGCCCTCCCCCCCGCCGCTTACCCTTCTCCTTCCCCCCATGGCCCCTCGTTCCCCCTTATCTCGGCCCGCGAGCCCTTCTCCCGTCCGAGTTCCGCTATGCGCGCTTATACTCGCCAGCGCTCGCCTTTCTCCGCGCATTTTCGTGCAGCACATCCGCGGTGCCGCCACCTAATCTTGCCCGCATCCTCCCCTCCCCCCTCCCTTCCGCGCGCCCCTCCCCTCCGCGCAGTATTCGCGCTGGTGGTGACGGGGCCGGGCGGGAGCTCGCTGGAGAAGAGCCGCGGGTTCACGGTGTTCGAGCCGGCGCAGTTCAGCGCGTGGATGCAGCAGCAGGTGGCCAGCAACAGCTCCTGGGCGCCGCTCGCGTCGTGCCTGTACGGCGCGCGCACGTGCGGGGACGTGCGCAGCTACCTCGGGCGCAACCTCAAGAAGCAGCAGCTCTCGCCGCTCGAGGTGGGGGGATTGGGGCGGGGAGGGGCCAAGAGGAGCAGGGAGGAGGGAGGATGGAATGGGAATGCGGGCTTGTGGGGAATGAGGGGAGGGTGGAGGGGTGCAGAGGGGTGAGAGCAGCATGATGGGTGTGGTGCCAACTGCCGGGGCGATCGAGTATCAGATCTTTCAGAGCCGCCTTTCCGCTCTCCTCTACCTTGGCTCATCATTTCTCCTCTTGCCTCGTCCCTTCCCTTGCCTTACTCTCCCGCCGCCATGGCCATTTCCCCTTCCTCATGCGCCCGTGCCATGACAGGCGGGGTGCTGCCTGCCGCCGCAGGGCTGTGTGCTGGGCGGGCTCAACATGTCGGCGCCCGTCTACTACTCCTTCGCCTTCGACCTCCCCACCATGCCCAAAGTCTCCCTCCCCGCTGCCGGCGCCACGCCCAGCGTGCAGCACAGCAGCAACTGCAGCGGCTTCAGTGCAGAGCCAAGCGAGCTGTGCTTCGGATGCCCGTACTGCCAGGGCGGGCTGCTCACGGTGCTGCGCGACAATCTACGCATGGAGGCGTTTGTGTCGCTGGGGGTGTTTGCGGCCGTCTTCATGCTGCTGCTCGTCGCCTGCTTCGCCTACTGCGGGGCGCGCCCTGACGACGACGAGGAGGGCGGCAAGGGCAAGAAGACGGAGATCAACCTCGCGCGCCAGGAGACATTCGTGATTGCGGATCAGCCGGTGGGGGCACAGCTGCTCTCCGTGCCGACGTTCAAGCGCACGCTCACCATGGGCGATGGTGGGCCCGCGTTCACACGGACCAACACCATGGCTGACAGCAGCGCAGGCACCGCGGTGTCGAATGCGCAGCTGAGCCGCACGCTGACGCGCATTGAGCAGGCGCTGGGGGCGGACCTGCAGGCGTTCAAACGCACGAACACCATGGCGCAGGGCGGCGATGGGGAGCAGCGGGACTTCAGCCGCACGCGCACGTTCCAGTACGCGGAGGGTGAAGGGGACGGGGGCAGGGGCAAGACGTGGAGCCGAACTGATAGCAGTGTGAGGGATGCGGATTGGGCCAAGGGGCGGCTGCTGGGCAGAGTGGACACTCTGGAATCGTCCAGGGGGGGCTCAAGAGGGCCCGAGCATGGCAAGTTCCGAAGCAGCACGTTCAAACGAGGCGAGGGGGATTCCACAGAGGCGCATTCACGGAAGGTGGGCAGTGGGAGAGGCAGACATCGGGATTATGATGAGGAGAGTGCGAGAGACTCAGATGACATGTCAGAGGACAAGGATTACTATGATGAGGATGACGATGCAGAGGATGATGTGGACTTGTATGACTAGGAAGAGACGCTCCACCGGGCTACCAAGGCAGGCAACATTGTAGGTGTTAGAATACTAGAATGATTAGGAACAAGGGTGAACAAAGGAAATATAGGGTTGGAGTTGTACTCTCTAAGAACATACACCTATATAGTCTATAACTTATACATATTAACATATGTATAAGTTGACACATCCCCTAGGCTAGATAAGTGGTAGTGCTGAGCAAGAAACATGCAGTTCAGGGTGGCACTACTTATTAAACAGTGAAATTGATGAATAGAGAGAGAGTACACAAACATATATCTAACTGTTGTACTCTCTAGAAGATGACCCTATACAGTCTATACAAGCATGATAACTAAACATGTTTGACACACCCCCTGGACTGCATAGGGGAATGTTCTAGACAAGCAGCTCAGGGTGGCACTACTAGTCCAGCCTCTGAGACAAGGGTCTAAAAGACCAGTCAGAAGGAGTACAGGCAAGGCAAGAACTAGTACAGGGCGGCACTACTAGTCCAACCACTGTAAGAGGACACAAGTCCAGTCTGAGTGTACACACAGATATATAGGACAGTACAGAGTCAAGGCTCGAGTAAGTGAGAGACTACAGGAACCAGACCAAGCTGCACACAGTGCCGCTGATGATCTTTAGGCGCAAGCGCCTTCGTAAAGATATCAGCTGTGTTGGCACCGGAGGCTAAGTGTACTACGCGAGCCTGGCGACGCTGCTGTAGCTCACGCAGGAGGAAGTACCGCAGCTGGATGTGCTTCGCTCTGCCCTCGAGTCGAGGCTCCTGACACAGGAGAATCATGGCCCTGTTGTCAGCGTACAGGACCGGGGCAGAGCTAGGCCGCTCACCTAAGTCAGTGAGCAAGAAGGTCAGCCAGCGGAGCTCCTGTGCCGCCATGGCACCGGCGTAGATCTCGGCCTCACAGCTGGACTGGGCAACAGACGAAGAGCGGGTAGCTCTCCACGAGACAGCACCTGAACCAAGGCTAAAGCAGTAGCCCTGGGAAGACCTGAGCGTCTCGGCGTCGTCTGCCCAAGAAGCGTCTGTGTGTCCAGTAAGGACCACTGGCCTGCGTCCGCCTAGCACTAACCCCATGCCCGATGTACTTGCAAGATAACGCAAAACCCTCTTAGCGGCAGACCAGTGCTGAGGTCGGTGCCTGCCTGTGGCCACGAAACGAGCCAGGATGCTGAGAGGGTATGCGAGATCTGGGCGAGTGCAAGTCATCAGGTACATGAGGCAACCCACTAGCTCAGCGTAAGGACCACTGGGATCTACCGACTCCTCAGGAACTGGAGCGGAGAGTCTGTGGTCCAGAGGAAGAGGGGTGGGCTGTGCGGAGGAGAACTGAAGGCCGAACCTCTGAAGGACCTGGCGCACCAAGTGTGACTGAGTTAGGGTGATGGTGCGCGCGGCTCTGTCCCTGGAGATCTGCAAGCCAAGGTAACGGCGCAGCTCTCCAAGGTCAGTGCAGGTGTGTCTCTTCAGCAGCTCTGCCTTCACGGAGGCCAGTGCGTCCCTGTCAGCAGTGGCAAAGACCAGGTCGTCTACGTAGACGAGGATGTAGAACGGAGTCGAGCCAGCACGAACGAAGAGCGAGGGGTCTGCAGAGGACGGAAAGAACTGCAGGTCAGCAAGGGTAGCACGCAAAGTGTCGTGCCACTCACGAGGCGCCTGGCGCAGGCCGTAGACTGGCCGCCGCAGAAGCCACTGGGTACCAGGGGGGAAGGTGCCAGTAAAGCCCTGAGGGCGACGCAGGTAGACCTGCTCGTGAAGGCTGCCCTGAAGAAAGGCAGTGGAGAAGTCGAGGGAGTGAAGCTCGTAGTCACGCTGAGCCGCTACGTGTAGCAGCACCCGAAGAGTAGTCATCTTCGGGGTAGGAGCGAAAGTCTGAAAGAAGTCCACCCCCTCGCGCTGACTGAAGCCTCTAGCCACGTAGCGCGCCTTGAACACAGGCGGCTCTCCAGGAGGGCGCTTCACCTTGAAGAGCCAGCGGCCATCGATCACGTTCACCCCAGGTGGGGGAACTGCGTCGACGAAGGTGCCGGTGGATCTCCAAGATGCCATCTCCTGCTCCATGGCAGCTATCCACTGAGAGGCCCAGGGTCCCGAAACCGCCTCAGCGTAAGTACGAGGGGTCGGGATGTCGAAAGCGTCTGGGTCACCCTCAGGGACTAGCAGCATGGAACAGAGATGGGGAGCAGCCTCGGACAGGAAAGCAAGCTCAAACTGGCGGTCCTCCAGGACGTCACTGCCGAGGGCAGGAGCACCCCCGACAGACGGAGGACAGGCAGGGTCGGAGACCAGAGCGGTAGCGTAGTCAAGGCGGCGGGTAGAGGCGAAGTCAGCGACCGCAGCGACAAGGGCGTCAAGACTCGACACTGGAATAGACGGGTCGGTAACGAGAGAGGCAAGGACCCGAGGAACAAGAGGACGAGCGGCACGAAAGTAGTCAGACAGAGGAGGAGACGCAACGACAAGAGAGGACGGAGGAGGAGACGGGAGGAGGGGAGGACGAGACGCGTGGGAGCGGAGCAACATAGGGTGAGTGCGCGGGACGGGGGAGACAGGACGAGCACGGGAGGGGCGGCGAGACCAGACGTGAGAGGGCGGCGTCGGGTCGGGAGACAGAGGAGGGGACACGGGTGGGGAACGAGGGGGAAAACGAGCCGGGGACGAGTCCGGCGGAGGGAACACGGGGCCGTAGACGGGAAGAGGGGGAGACGGCCGGAGAGGAACAGGCGCAGGGTCAGGAGACGGAAGGCCGAGCAGACGGAGGGCGGACACAGGCGGGGACTGCTGCTGCGGTGACACAACACCAACACCAGGGCCACAAGCTGCGCGACGGCTACCTCCCGAACCCTCCACACCTGCACCCCCAGAAGGGACACCCCCAGAGTCCACAAACGGCGGCAGCGACGACAGCGGCGGCGGCGACGGCGGCTGCAGCGACGGCTGCGACGGCGGCGGCGGCGGAGACGACGGCTGCAACGGCGGCGGCGGTGGAGACGACGGCGGCAGCAGCTGCGGCGACGGCGGCTGCGGAGGCGGTGGAGGAGGAGACACCGGGGGAGGGACAGACGGCGAGGACTGCGCCGGAGGACTACCAGAGTCAGAAGACTCGTCGACCGGGACGACCGACGGGAGGGGGGTGACGTGAGACACACCAGAGGGGGCCGGACGGGGGGGCGGGGGGGGGGGAGGGGCAGGGACCACCAGGGAGGGAGGAACCAGGAAAAGGGGGGGAGTAACCGGGGGACCACGGTGGGGAAAGCGGCGGTAGAAGGAGACGGACTCGTCAAAGGTGACGTCGCGAGAGTGAAAGAAGCGGTGAGACGGCGGGTGGTAGAAGTGCCAGTCGGACGCGTCAAGGGGGAAACCGAGGAAGACGCAGGGGAGGGTGCGGGCAGTGAGCTTGTCCGTGCCAGAGGCACGAACGTGAGCAAGGCAGCCCCAGACGCGGAACGCAGACGCGTCACCAGGGGACCCGGTCCACAGAAGGGTCGGCGAAACCTGCGGCCGCTGGGGGTGCGGCCACAGGTTAAGCTGGTGAGCGGCGTAGCGCACGGCGAACGGCCACAGAAAATGGGGTGCACCGGCGTGGATCATGGAGGTGCGAGCCACCTCCATGACCAAACCGATGCGTCGCTCAGCGACCCCATTCTGCTGCGGGGAGTCCGGCAGGGTAAACGTCTGGGTGATGCCCTCCGCACGACAGAAGCGACCAAGGACACCTGAGGCAAACTCGCCACCCCGGTCGGAGTGAAGGCGCAAGGCAGGGAGACCGCGGTGGACACGAGCAGAGACAAGCCAGGGGATGAGAACGTCAGGCACGTCGGCCTTCCGCTCCAGGGGGAAGACGGTGGTGTAGCGCGTGAAGTCGTCGACAAGCACTAGGAAGAAGCGCTCGCGACGCGGCCCATGGACCGGGGCTGGGCCCCAGACGTCCATGTGCAGAGTCTGCAGTGGTGCGGTGGTAGGGGGAAAAGAGGAGGAGTGAGGGGCACGGCGGAGCCGGCCCTCGACACAAGGCGTGCACGGTGGGGCGGGGGAGGAGGGAAACTCGGGGAACGAACCGGGGAGACCAAGGACGAGACCGTGCTGGGACATGTGACGCAGACGTGGGAGTGCAGGGTGACCAAGGCGGTGGTGCCAAAGGAGAGTCGGGTGAGTGAGGGACCGACAGGAGCACGCGGCTGCAACCTGGGTGGACGCAACTACCGGGGGGAAGACCCAGACGGGGACGGCGCGGTGTCAAGTGTGAACAGGCCGGACACCGGGTCCCGGGGGAAAGTGGTAAGGGGGGCACCAGTGGCGGCCTCGGTACAGACAGCATACCGCTCGTGACCAGGGAACGTAGTGGTGACGCCAAGGTCCTGGAGGCAGCCGACACCAACTAGGTTCCTGGAGAACGAGGGGATATGCAGACCTGTGAGAGTGCCCGAAGGAACCGCCGGACAGGGAAGGGAGGTGGAACTGTGGGCAACGACGGGACCACCGGAGGGGTCAGCAAGAGTAACTGCAGCGGGAACAGGCAGCGGCGTCAGCGTCGTGGAGTCGCGGAAGAAACACCGGGAGGCGCCAGAGTCCAAGGTGAAGGAAAGCGCAGCAGTCGCGCGAGGCAGCAGTGAAGCGGTGGAAGCACCAAGGCTAAGCAAAGCAGGAGATCCTACGCCTGACGCAGCAGGGGAGTCTACGCTAGGCACCGCTACACTAGGCAACACGGGATAATAAGAGGGAAGCACACTAGAGTCATCAGCATACATCACATGCAAGGCCGCTACAATGGCATCCATGTCCAAGTCAAAAATCCTAATGCTACGCCTAAGCAAGCTGTGCCAGTCCGGGAGGTCGGGCGCCGGGCCAAAGCGCTGGCGGAACAGGTCGTCCAGGCGACGAAAACAGCGAGGAGTAGAATGACCGATCTTACCGCAAACGAAGCCGCGGCGAGGACCGGTCTGGATCTGGTACTGACAGGGCCCGCCTCCAGAACCACCGCCCGGTGCACCACCACGCGCACGACCACCACCAGCTCCAGGCCACCCAGGTGGGAGAGTACTCGCCTGCCTCGTCTGCGGCGGCTGCTGCGGCTGCTGCGAAGGCTGCGGCTGCGGCGACTGCTGCTGCTGCGGCTGCTGCAACTGTGGAGGCAGCGGGGCAGCTGGACCGGGCAGGGTCCCCACGTCCGCACCGGCACCGGACGACCCGCCTCCACCACTACCCCCACCCGCACCCCCGCCGCCTCCGCCGCTCCCAACCTTGGGGCGGCGGCCCTTCGCCGAGCGGGACTGCACTGCAGCAGCAGTCTCAGCCACAGCGACAGAGCCGTCGGAGAAGGTACACTGAGCGGGGGCACAACCCTGAAAGATAGGGACCGGTACTGTACCGCTCGCCAGGGCTATGGAGCGGTGACGAGTCTCTATGGCAGTCAGGGTGTCAACAAAGTCGGTGAGGGTGAGAGCAGCAGGGTGGATGCTAAGGAACTGGTCGCGGGCGGCGGCAAGGCGGTCAGGTAGGCGGGTGGCAAGGAGGTAGAGGGTAGAGGTCATGGGAGGCTGGTGGACTCTAAGCTGAGCATCAGTGCAGGCAGCGCGCCAGGCCTCATCTATCGAGCGCAGGTGGGCAGCGAGGTCAGAGACAGTGGGGAAAGACGCCAGGTCAGGAAAGAGCAGGGGAAGGATCAGGCGACCCACTGAGGCAGCAGGAGGGGTAGAATAGCGCTTGATGACAGCATCGAGGTAGGCCTGGGCGGTAGGAATGGTTCTAAAGCGAGGGCGCTCAGTGGGGGGGAGGGCATTGCTAATGGCGAGCTGAGCAAGGGCATCGCGGGAAAGCCAGACAGAGCGGGCAAGGGCAGCAGCGGCAGTGGACTCGCGCTCAGCGGGCGTGGGATCAGCGGGCAGCACAGCAGGGGGGTCAGGGCAGGGGAGCATACCGTCTAGGTGTGCAGAAAGCGGGTGGCCGTCCTGCCGCTGGCCAGTGAGGTGGCGGCGAAGGTCAGCCAACCACGCCTCGAACTCCAGAGGCTGACCCTCAACATCAAAACGAAGCTCAGCAGCCATGAGGGGCAGTGGAGGACAGTGCAGTGCGGTGCAGTGCGATGCAGTGCGGTGCAGTGCGGTCCAGTGCGATGCAGTGCGATGCAGTGCGGTGCAGTGCGGTCCAGTGCGGTGCAGTGCGGTCAGTGCGATCCAGTGAGGTGCAATGCGATGCAAGGCGGGGCAGGAAAGTGCAGGAGGGTGCAAAGTGGTGCGGGGAACGGGGGACAGTACCAGGAAGTATGGAGGGCCGGGGCAGGTGCGTCGGGGCCGGGCAGGCACGACAAGGCCGGGCGGCGGCGACGGGGCCGGGCGGCGGCGACGGGGCCGGGCGGCAGCGACAAGGCCGGGCGGCTGCGACGTGGCCGGGCGGCTGCGACGGGGCCGGGCGGCTGCGACGGGGCCGGGCGGCAGGGACGAGGCCGGGCCGGACACAGCAGGGCCGGGCAGGGGCGACGGGGCCGGGCGGCTGCGACGTGGCCGGGCGGCTGCGACGTGGCCGGGCGGCTGCGACGGGGCCGGGCGGCTGCGACGGGGCCGGGCGGCGGCGACGGGGCCGGGCGGCAGGGACGGGGCCCGGGCAGGCCACAGCAGGGCCGGGCAGGGGCGACGGGGCCGGGCGGGCGAGCAGGGGCCGGGCAGGTGCGACAGGGGCCGGGCAGCCGCGACAGGGGCCGGGCGGGCGCCACGCGGCCGATAGGCCGCGACCTGGCCGAGCAGGGGCGACGGGGCCGAGCAGGGGCGACGGGGATGGGTAGGGGCGCGACGGGGCCTGGAGGGGCGTTACCAAGCCCAGGTAGGGGCGCGACGGGGCCTGGGGGGAGCGCAATGGGGCCCAGGAGGGGCTCTACGGGGCCTGGGAAGAGCGCGACTGGGCTAGGGAGGGGCGCGACGGGGCCTGGAAGGAGCGCAATGGGGCCCAGGAGGGGCGCTACGGGGCCTGGGAGGAGCGCGACGGGGCCCTGGAGGGGCGCTACCAGGCCCTGGAAGGGGCGCGACGGGGCCTGGAGGGGCGCTACGAAGCCCTGAAAGGGGCGCGACGGGGCCTGGAGGGGCGCTACGAAGCCCTGGAAGGGGCGCGACGGGGCCTGGGAGGAGCACAATGGGGCCCAGGAGGGGCGCTACGAGGCCTGGGAGGAGCGCGACGGGGCCCTGGAGGGGCGCTACCAGGCCCTGGAAGGGGCGCAACGGGGCCTGGAGGGGCGCTACGAAGCCCTGGAAGGGGCGCGACGGGGCCTGGGAGGAGCGCAATGGGGCCCAGGAGGGGCGCTACGAGGCCTGGGAGGAGCGCGACGGGGCCCTGGAGGGGCGCTACCAGGCCCTGGAAGGGGCGCGACGGGGCCTGGAGGGGCGCTACGAAGCCCTGAAAGGGGCGCGACGGGGCCTAGGGAGGGTCGCGACGGGGCTAGGGAGGGTCGCGGCGGGGCTAGGAGCACGACGGGGCCCAGCTAGAGGGGCGAGCGGAAGCGTGAGGGGGGGGGGGGGGGGGGGGGGGGATCCTACCTACGCGTGATACCATATTAAACAGTGAAATTGATGAATAGAGAGAGAGTACACAAACATATATCTAACTGTTGTACTCTCTAGAAGATGACCCTATACAGTCTATACAAGCATGATAACTAAACATGTTTGACACTACTAGTCCAACCACTGAGGCAGGGGTCCGAAGACCAGTCAGCAAGAGTACCGACAAGACGAGCGAACCAGGGCGGCACTACTAGTCCGGCCACTGGAAGAGAAGCAACAAGGCCATGAAGGTATAAATATAGAGGAGTTCACAATCAAGGTCCTAGCAAGTGAGAGTTTACACGAACTGGACCAAGCTGCAAACAGCGCCGCTGATGATCTTTACGCGCAAGCGCCATAGTAAAGATATCAGCTGTGTTGGCACTGGAGGCCAAGTGGACTACGCGGGCCTGTCGACGCTATTGTAGCTCGCGCAGGAGGAAGTACCGCAGCTGGATGTGCTTCGCTCTGCCCTCAAGTCGAGGCTCCTGACACAGGAGGATCATGGCCCTGTTGTCAGCGTACAGAACCGGGGCAGAGCTAGGCCGCTCACCTAAGTCGGCGAGCAAGAAGGTCAGCCAGCGGAGCTCCTGTGCCGCCATGGCACCGGCGTATATCTCAGCCTCACAGCTAGACTGGGCAATAGACGAGGAGCGCGTGGACCTCCACGAGATGGCCCCTGAACAAAGGCTAAAGCAGTAGCCCTGGAAGGACCTCAGGGTCTCAGCGTCGTCTGCCCAATAAGGACCATTGGCTTGCGTCCTCCCAGCACTAACCCCATGCCCGATGTACTTGCTAGATAACGCAAAACCCTCTTAGCGGCCGACCAGTGCTGTGGTCGGTGTCTGCCTGTGGCCACAAAGCGAGCTAGGATGTTGAGAGGGTATGCGAGATATGGACGAGTGCAAGTTATCAGGTGCATAAGGCAACCCACCAGCTCTGCGTAAGGACAACTGGGCTCTACTGATTCCTCAGGAACTGGAGCAGAGAGCCTGTGATCTACTGGCAGATGTGTGGGCTGTGCGGAGGAGAACTGAAGACCGAACCTCTGAAGGACCTGACGCACCAAGTGTGACTGTATGAGAGTGATGGTGCGCGTTGCTCTGTCCCTGGAGATCTGTAGGCCAAGGCAGCGGCGCAGCTCTCCTAGATCAGTGCAGGTGTGTCTCTTCAGCAGCTCGGCCTTTACAGAGGCCCGTGCGTCTCTGTCTGTAGTAGCGAAGACCAGGTCGTCTACGTAGACAAGGATGTAGAACGGGGTCTAGCCAGCACGAACGAAGAGCGACGGGTCAGTAGAGGACGGAAAGAATTGCAGGTCAGCTAGCGTAACACGCAGCGTGTCGTTCCACTCACGGGGGCAGTAGGTAGGTACTACAAAGGAATGCAATGCATACAAGGTTAAGAATCGACGAGTTGTTGGGCAATCCACACTATTTTTCTGCTGTGTAGGCTCTAGCAAGCAACCATCTTGCACGGTGCCGGTAGGTAGTACCTTAAGCACATTGCTGTGGCTAAGGGCCAGGGCCTCAAATTCGTTTAGAGGCACCCTGATAGCTCAGGGTCCCCCCCAGGCCTCTTGATAGGATTAGAAGTACTCTTTCTCGTAAGGGTACTCGCTTGCTGCCACTTTTTCTGTAAGGGTATATTTTAAAGCTACTTTGTAGTATAAGGGTCCTAAATATTTGTACTTTTTTCACATAAGGGTATAAGTCCAGCTCAGCCTTATACTTTACTATAGTTATAGGATCTCGCGTGATCAGACGACTGACATGTTGCAAATCTGATGTGACGACGTGCCTTGGGCTTCACTCGACAGGGTGCGCCAAGATTTCTGTTTGTTAGCGCTGAAGTGGAAGGAATGCCGCACCTCGGTAATTTTGCATTTATAATTTCTGTGGTCATGGGTTAGGGCGTATTTCTACATTAGTGCGTTCAGTACCATGGAACCAAACTTCGCGAACTACCAAATCGAACCGAACAGGAATTCGCTTTTTGACCGTCGGACCTTATTGTTTCGCTTTTCAGACTCCATTTTGGGATTGCTGGTACTGAACACTGTCTTGTAGAAATACGTCCTCATTCCCTAGACCCTTCTTGGTCGCGACATGAGTTCCCGTTGAGTTATTTATGCGGCACTCGTGATTTCGTCAATTTAGTGAGCTATAGGGTACTTGAGGGGCAGCCCAGAGGCTTGGTTAAAAAAGTGCGCTATGCACTGACTACCCAAACGTGAACAGTAATTGGGCTGCCTAGATAATTCATAGTTGCCCGACATGCGAGTTAAGGTGTCCCAAACACAATACTTTTCCGAGTTCGGGCTGATGCCGCCCTGAGTAGTCGTGCCCCTCTCGGTTCTTTTTTTTTTTTGTTCTTTCATTTCTTTAACTAATGTAGTGGCGGATACGACACTACCGACACGAATTAAACATTCAAGACGGCAGGTTTTGTAATAGTGTGCATGACTTATCGAGTGAGTGGCAGTTATAAAGAAGCGTAAACCATTACAGTAGCAGAAGAAACTGACAGCGGGAATCCCCCTCGTACGCGGGCAGGGGCCACTTTAAAACCAGTGAAAACAGAAATGCAAGTCGCCGATATTTCGTAGGCGCTGTGAGAGTACGACCCCGTTCCATTCCTTTCTCCTTTCCATCTTCCCTTTCTATTTCATTCCTATTTTTATCCTAATTCATTTGGTATTTATCTCATGCCATTTGGATTCCTATTCCTTCTTTTCCATAAACCTTTGGTTTATCCTGTTATTATCATTACATCACCGACCAGGCTCGGGATGTACTGGCACGCTATATCTAGCGTAATCCTGCCGTAATCCCTCAAAGCCAATAGCCTCGCGTGGCTATACGCAGGGTGATTCTATTTTCTAGAAGGGTCTATTCCCTTGGGATAGGATAGACCTGGTTACCTGATGTACTTTGGAAGTATAAAAGCGCCTTGTATCAATCGATAGTGCAACCTTTCCTCGACACATTCGATCCTGTCACACTTGGTAATCGGAGCCTTTCTCACTCGGCCACGCTTAAGCTAAGCAGCAGCAGCGGGACTCCTGCCTCGAAAAACCGTCGGGGGCGACCAATTCGACGCCGATTCTGGTAAGCACCAGCTCCGCGTTTTTTCGAATTACCCCCTCCGCACGTGTTTTGAACAGGATGGCGAACTTCGACAACACCGAAGTTACCCAGCAGCTCTTCGCAAGCATCGCCGCCCTACAGAAAAAAGATACGAGCCGACCGCGAAGCTTGGCGACAAGGGTTCGAGCGAGTAACTCGATTCGCCGGCGCGCAACACGAAACGACAACGGCGACGACGTAGCAGTCGCAGCAATTTCTCGAGGCTCCGAAACCGCGCCCACCTGAGCCGTTCGATCCGAGCGATCGAAACTCCGACGTCCGCAGATGGATCGTCGGCATGGAGATCTACTTCGCAGCTATCGGATGGAGCTCGCCAGTCTGGGACGGACAACGCGTACGACTTGCGGCGACACTGATGCGAGGGCTGGCACTCGAGTGGATCGGCGGTAACAGCACCTTCATCCACGGCGAAGCCACGTGGCAGCAATTCCGCACCGACCTGCTGAAACGTTTCGAGCCGATAAATGCAGGTTTCCTTGCCCGGGAAAAAATTCATCGCCTTCGACAGTTCGGGAGTGTAGCACAGTACAAGCAGCAGATGGAAGAATTTTATAACCGCATTCCCGACCGGACCGAAGGGGAAAAAGTACAGTCGTACCTCGCCGGGCTGAAGACCGAAGTCAAACGACAAGTAGCAGGGACAAACTACGCGAGCTACACTGACGTCATTTCGGCAGCGGAACGCTTCGACATGGTCGACGCCGGGACACGACGAGCGCACGTCGGCAGTACGCGACAGGGCGACCGCTCGGCTCACCCCACGTTCGCCGACCCGATGGAAGTCGACAGGTTCGAAGGGCGGCCACGTCCGAAAAACACCAACTTCACGTGTGATTTTTGCGGGGTGCCGGGTAATCGAATCTTCGACTGCAACAAAGTGAAAGCCGCACGCGTTGAGTATCGAGCACGCAACAGTGGCGGAAATCCTTCGATCAATCAGAAGCCAAAAAACAGAACTCGCCAGTTATTGCGGATCTAGCTGGCGAAAAAGAAAATATCCAAAAGCGGCCGCGGACTTCCGGAAAAATCAACTTCGACGCAGCTGATTCAACGCGAGCAGGAGAAAATGGTGGGGAAAAATCTCCACCCCACGACCAGTCTTTGCCAGAGGAAATTGCAAAGGAAAAATCTAACTCCACGAAAAAGGACTCTGCCGAGACGGGGAAACTCCTTGAAGACACAAGAAATTATAAGGATTCGTTAAAGTTATCTTATAAAGATGCTTTAATGAAAAAATGTAATTCTCGAGGGGCTAGAGCCTTGGAGAAATTTCGGGAGGGACTCTAGAAGAAGCAGAAAATTGTGGAGATCGTTCCGGTACCGGAGAACTTGGGGACCAAATTAAGGAGTGTGGAAAGAAGTTGACCTTTCCACAGAGTCAACGTCCTCTCCCGACACCAGCCCACAACGACTACCCGTTCCCCAGGGAAGACGTCAGTGGAGCTGAAGCGGCTCAAGAGGAAGCTGGGGGTCTACAAGAAGCTGCAAAAAACCCGAACTCCTTCTTCGGATGCATCCAACTCGGCAACTTCTTCAACGTCACGCACAGTCGTCACGGAAACTCCGGGCCCTGGAGAAGAGCCTTTCTCCAGGCAGCCTCGGCCAGCTGCCAGCTCAGGAGTAGGAAGCAACAAATATTGGGATGTACCCTATGACCCAATCAATGAAACTATTTTGGGGTACTCCGATCAACGCCTGCCCCTCGTGCTCGAGATCATCTGCAAAGGACAACGCCTCCAAGCACTCGTGGACAGCGGAGCATCGCACACCGTATGCGACAAGGCAACCATCGACCGACTTCGAGAAGAGTACAGCCATCAGCGTTTTCTACGGCGAAGTAGTGCTACACCTACAAATCGGTCCCCTGCTCCGGAAACCTGCTCTCCCCATCACCAACATAAAAGGGCTTGACCTGATCTTCAGGCAGAACTTCCTCAAGAAATTCAACCCCGAGATCAACTGGGTAAACTGCACCACTAGCATCTATAACAAAGGAAGGAGAGACCAGCTACCCAACTGGGACGATACAGGAGATATCCCAGTGAAGACACTCGCCAGATTCGAGAAGGACATGAAACGAACCAACACGGGGTTCCTGGCGTTAGCAACAGACGTGGAATGGGACGAGGAGAAGACCTCGGAACCTCCAAGAGAAATCAAGAAAATACTGAAGGAGTTCCAAGACATTCTTCCCGACGACCTCCTCGGCGAGCTACCGCCATACCGAACGCACCAACACGAGATCGTGGAGGAACCAGGTTCGAAGCCGGCCTTCCGAGCACCATATCGGTTCAGCCCTACAGAGCTAGCTGTCATGAAAAAGCAGATCGAGTATCTCCTCGCCAAAGGACTTATCCGACCATCCACTTCACCATACGGTGCCACTGTACTCTTCAAACCGAAACCGGACGGAAGCATGCGCATGTGCATCGACTACCGAGCTCTCAACAAGCAGACCATAAAAAACAAATACCCGATTCCACGAATCGATGACCTGCTTGACCAGCTTCGGGGAGCCACGGTATTTTCAAAACTAGATCTGCGGTCTGGATACTGGCAGATACGAATTGCAGACGAGTCTGTTCACAAAATTGCTTTCCGAACTCGGTACGGATCGTACGAGTATCTGGGAATGCCGTTCGGACTCACCAACGCACCTGCAACGTTCCAAGCAGAGATGAATCACATCCTACGCCCACTCTTGGACGAATGCGTAGTGGTGTACTTGGACGACATCCTCGTCTACTCGCGAGACATGCAACAACACGTCGAACACCTGCGACGCGTGTTCGAGATTCTTCGACGAGAACGCTTCTACGTCAAACTATCCAAGAGCGACTTCGCCCTCGAGAAAGTCCAATTCCTCGGACATATCGTAAGCACTCAAGGAGTTCACGTCGACGCCAAGAAAATCGAAGCCGTACGTACGTGGAAGACACCAGAGAACGTGAAGGAGTTACAGCAGTTCCTTGGCTTCGCCAACTACTACAACAGGTTTGTGCCACAATACGCGAAGATCGCCGCGCCACTCACGAATCTGCTGAAGAAGAACATGCCCTATAACTGGGGACCAAGACATCAAGAAGCCGTGGAACAACTGAAACAAGCACTCACGTCCACACCCGTACTCATCTTGCCATACCCCGAACGCAACTACGTCATCGAAGCTGACGCCAGCGACCAGGCAGTGGGAGCAGTCTTGATGCAAGACCAGGGGAATGGATTGCAACCAATTGCATACCTCAGCAAAAAATTACACGGGGCAGAACTCAACTACCCGATACACGACAAGGAGGCCCTTGCCATCATTATCGCCTTCAAAACGTGGAGATGTTATCTCTAATGACGCAAAACAACAGTCTACACCGACCATTGCAGCCTAAAATATTTGAAGACGCAACCAAGCCTCTCCAAGCGACAGGTCCTTTGGATCGACTTCCTCGAGACGCACTTCCACTACGACATCGTGTACAAGCCTAGCCATAAAAACAAAGCAGATGCGCCTAACCGGCCTGCACACGTAGCTTTTATCCAAATTGAAGGGATGAATCCACTCCTCAAGGGACTCTTCACACACAGGTACACCATCGACCCCGAAATTCCTTTGGCAGAAAAGCAACATCTGCTACAGTGGGACAACGACATCGCGTACCGGAAAGGATCAACAAAGAATTGGGTACCTAATTACCCTCCTTTGCGCCAGTTACCACTCGAAGAATACCACGACGTCCTGTACGCAGGACACTTTGGTAGCAACAAGACGCTCACCGGTATCGCCAAACACTACTACACTGGCCTCGTGGCCTCTTGTCTCAGTGGTCTGACTAGTAGTGCTGCCCTGAGTTGCCTTGTTGCCCTCACCAGAGGTCAGACTAGTAGTATTGCCCTGGTGTACTCTGCCTTTTTATGAACTACCACTATCTAGACTAGGGGGTGTGTCAACAAATATATTTATATAGATTAGCTAGGTCATATTTGTTTATAGCCTAGCTAGTTTAGTTCTTAGTGAGTACAGCCCTAGTTTTGTATCCCTCGACATTTTCCCTTAGTCACAACTTTCCCGCTACTCTAACAGGGGGAAACTCACGAAAATCACGGGTGGAGGGGTGGGGGTTGCGAGTCGGCTATTACACGAATCAGGTTTGACCCCTGATATTAGGCTGGACAAGGAGGGCTCAGTACACTAGTAATGCTGATCGATCAGAGTTCACCCCTAAAAAAACGCTAAAATTTCGGGCGCATGTAAAAAAAAACCCTGTCTCATCAAGGTCAACCCCCAAAATATCCCTGATTTTACCCTGAATCATGGTAAAAAGCCTGCAATCTGAGGCCCTGCTAAGGGCGTTTTCCTACTTCAGCGCGTTCAGTACCAGGAAACCAACTTCGCGAACTACGAAATTGAACCGCACAGGCCCTCGGACCTCTCTGTATTGCGTTGCAGACTCGATTCCGGGTTTGCTAGTACTAAATAATGTTCTATAGGAATATGCCCTAAAGCTCCGAGAAATTTGTAGAAGATTGGGCTGACAGGGTTGACCGCAGATACTAGGAGCAATATTGGTACATTTCTGTTCTGACACAACAAAACAAGCTCACTTATGGCATATTCCTGGATGGTAGGAATATGCCCTTAGCTATGTGGTGAGCTGGTGCCCAAAATATATTTCCACAGCACAAGACGTCTCAAGGTAACGAGATTGACTACGACAGGGCATACAGGGTAGATTTGTTCTAAGTGTTGTACTCTCTTTGGTATGCTCTTAGCTAGCCTATTAACATATACAAATATATATATGTTGACACACTCCCTAAGGTAGACAAGAGGCAGTGCCTGGCAAGAGACACGAAGCTCAGGGCGGCACTACTAGTCCAGCCTCGGAGGCAAGGGTCCGAATTCCAGTTAGCAAGGGTATAAACAAGACAAGAGCAAACCAGTGCCTCACTACTAGTCCGGCCACTCGAACATTAGCCACTAGGCCGGTCAGGAGAATATATATATATAAGAGTAGTACACAATCAAAGCCCTAGCAAGTGAGGAGCTACAATAACTATACCAACACAGTGCCGCTGATGATCTTTAAGCGCAAGCGCCTTAGTATAGATATCAGCTGTGTTGGCACCAGAAGCCAAGTGTACTACGCGAGCCTGGTGGCGCTGCTGTAGCTCGCGCAGCACTGCAACTGGATGTGCTTCACTCTACCCTCGAGTTGAGGCTCCTGGCACAGGAGGATCATGGCCCTGTTGTCGGCGTACAGGACTGGGGCAGAGCTAGGCCGCTCACCTAAGTCAGTGACCAAGAAGGTCAGCCAGCGGAGCTCCTGTGCCGCCATGGCACCAGCGTAGATCTCAGCCTCACAGTTAGATTGTGCAATAGATGACGAGCGGGTGGACCTCCATAGGATGGCGCCTGCACCAAGGCTAAAGCAGTAGCCCCGGGAGGACCTGAGCATCTCAGCGTCATCCGCCCATGAAGCGTCTGTGTGCCCTGTAAGCACCACTGGCCTGCGTCCTCCTAGCACTAGCCCCATGCCCGATGTACTTGCTAGATAGTGCAAAACCCTCTTAGCGGCCGACCTGTGCTGTGGTCGGTGTCTGCCTGTGGCCACAAAGTGAGCCAGGATGCTGAGAGGGTATGCGAGATCTGGGCGCGTGCAAGTCATCAGGTACATGAGGCAACCCACAATCTCAGCGCACGGACCACTAGAGTCTACTGACTCGTCAGGGACTGGAGCCGAGAGCCTGTGGTCTACTAGCAGGGGTGTGGGCTGTGCGAAGGAGAATTGAAGACCGAACCTCCAAAGGACCTGGCGCAGGTGTGACTGTGTGTGAGTGATGGTGCGCGCTGCTCTGTCCCTTGAGATCTGTAGGCCAAGATAGCTGCGCAACTCTCCTAGGTCAGTGCAGGTGTGTCCCCTCAGTAGCTCGGCCTTCACAGAGGCCAGTGCATCTCTGTTTGTAATAGGGAAGACCAGGTCGTCTACGTAGACTAGGATGTAGAGCGGAGTCTGGCCAGCAGCGAACGAAGAGCGAAGTATCTGCATAGAACGAGAAGAACTGCATATCAGCTAACGTAGCACGCAACGTGTCGTGCCACTCTTGGGGCGCCTGTCGGAGGCCGTAAACCGGGCGCTGAAGAAGCCACTGGGTCCCCAAGGCGAAGGCGCTCGTGAAGCCTTACGGGCGGCGTAGGTAGACCTGCTCGTGCAGACTGCCCTGAAGAAATAATGTCGAGAAGTCGAGAGAGCGCAGCTCGTAGTCACGCTATGCTACTACATGTAGCAGCGCCCGATAAGTAGTCATCTTCAAGGTTGGGGCAAAGGTCTGGAAGAAGTCCACACCCTCACGCAGACTAAAGCCTCTAGCCACGTAGCGCGCCTTGAACACATGCGGCTCTCCAGGAGGGCGCTTCACCTTGAAGAGCCACTGGCCATCGACTACGTTCACCCTAGGTGGGAGAACTGCGTTGACGTAGGTGCGATTGGATCTCCAAGATGCCATCTCCGCGTCCATGGCAGCAATCCACTGGGAGGCCCAGGGTCCTGAGGTCGCTTCAGCGTAGGTGCGAGGGGTCGGGATGTCGAAAGGCGTCTAGGTCCCCCTCAGGGACTAGAAGGTTGGAGAAGAGTTGAGGCGCAACCTCGGACAGGAAAGCTAGCTCGTGCTGCTGATCCTCCATGATGTCACTGCCAAGGGCAGGAGCACCCCCGACGGACGAAGGACAGACAGGTTCAGAGACCAGAGCGGTGGCGTAGTCAAGGCGGCGGGTAGAGGCGAAGTCAGCGACAGCAGCGACAAGAGCGTCAAGGCTCGAGACAGGAACAAACGGGTCGGTAACGAGGAAGGCAAGGAACCGAGGAACAAGAGGATTAGCAGCACGAAGGTAGTCTGACAAGGGAGGCGGAGAGACAACAAGTGACGACGGAGGAGGCGAGGGGAGGAGGGGAGGACGAGACACGTGGGAACAAAGAAACATCGGGTGAGAGTGCTGGACAGGAGAGACAGAATGAGCATGAGAGGGACGACGAGACCAGAAGTGGGACAGAGGGGTCGGGTCAGGAGACACAGGAGGAGTCACAGGAGGAGAATGAGAGGGGAAACGAGCCGGAGAGGAGTCCGGCGAAGGAAACACAGGGCCATAGATAGGCAGGGGAGGCGGTTGCAGAAGAGGCGCAGGCAGGCGGTCAGGGGAAGGAAGACCAAGGAGGCGAAGGGCGGACACCAGCGGCGGCTACTCATGCTGCTGCTCCACGCTGACATCAGAACCTCCAGCTGCACCATGGCTGCCTCCAGGACGCTCCACGCCAACACCCCCAGTATGAGAACCCTCTCTAGCACCAGTGCCACCCCCAGGACCGCCGGGATAAGCCACGACAGTAACCCCAGGACTAGCACCCCCAGAACGAGAACCATCTCCAGTACCAGTTCCACCCCCCGGACCACCGGGACAAGCCACGACAGTAACCCTAGGACTAGCACCCTACTCAACGCCCGCACCCCCAGAGCTCGCGGACTCCTGCGGAGGCTGCTGCTGCGACGGCGGCGACTGTGGCTGCTGCTGCGGCTGCGACGGCGGCGACGGCTGCTGCTGCGGCGACAGCGGAGGAGGAGACACTGGGGCGGAGACATGCGGCGAGAACGCCGCCGCGGGGCCATCAGAGTCAGCCGACTCCTCGACCGGGAAAACCGAGGGGAGGGAGTGACGTGAGACACACCAGACCGGGCAGGACGGGGAGGGAGAGGAGCAGGGGCTACCGGGGGAGTGGGAACCAGAAACAGGGGCGGGGAAACCGGGAGACCTCGGTGGGTAAAACGGTAGTAGAAGGAGACAGGCTCATCAAAGTGACGTCACGCGAGTGAAAGAAGTGGTGAGACAGCGAGTGGTAAAAGTGCCAGTCAGACGCGTTGAGAGGGAAGCCACGAAAGACACAAGGAACAGTGCGGGCAGTGAGCTTGTTCGTGCTAGTGGGACGAACGTGAGCAAGGCAGCCCCAGACGTGGAACGCAGACGCGTCACCAGGGAACCCGGTCCAGAGATGGGTCGGTGAAACCTGCGATCGCTGGGAGTGCGGCCACATGTTAAGTTGGTGAGCGGCATAGCGAAGAGCGAACGGCCACAGAAAATGGGGTGCACCGGCATGGATCATGGAGATACGAGGCACCTCCATGACCAAACCGATGCATCGCTCAGCGACCCCATCCTGTTACGGGGAGTCCGGCAGGGTGTACAACTGGGTGATGCCCTCAGCACGACAGAAATGGCCAGGTCGACCGGAAGCAAACTCGTCACCACGAGCGGAGTGGAGACACAGTACGGAGAGGCCGCGGTGGACTCGCGCAGCGACCACCCACGGGATAAGAACGTTAGGCACGTCGGCCTTACGCTCCAGGGGAAAACATCATGGTGTAGCGCGTGTAGTCGTCCACAAGCACTATAAAGTAGTGCTCGCGATGCGACCCGGGGATAGGGGCTGGGCCCCAGACGTTCAGGTGCAGGGTCTGGAGTGGCACGGTGGCAAGGCGAAGCGAGGAGGAGTGAGGAGCACGGCGCATCTGGCCCTCGATGCAGGGTGTGCATGACAGCGCAGGCGAGGGAGGGAGGGCAGGGAGCGACGTAGGGAGACTTAGGACAAGACCGTGCTGGGACATGTGATGCAGGCGCGGGAGGGCGGGGTGACCTAGGCCGTGGTGCCACATAAACGACGGGTAAGTGAGCGACCGACATGAGCAAGCGACAGCGACATGGGTAGACGCAGGTATCTGGGGAGGTGCCCTCACCAAGGGGGACGCGGTGTCAAGCGTAGACAGGCCAGACACCGGGTCCCAGGGGAACGTGGTGAGGGGAGCACCTGTGGCGGCCTCGGTACAGATCGCGCACCGCTCGTTTCCGAGGAACGTAGTGGTGACGCTGAGGTCCTGAAGAAAGCCGGCACCAACTAGGTTCCTGGAGAATGAGGGGATGTGTAGGCCCGTAAGAGAGCCCGAGGGAACCGTCGGACAGGGAAGAGTAATGGAGCTGCGGGCAACTACCGGACCTGAGGAGGGTTCAGCTAGCGCGACAGCGGTAGGGGCAGCAAGTGGCGTGAGCGCAGTGTGGTCGCGGAAAAAGCAGGCAGATGCACCAGAGTCGAGCGTGAAAGATAGCGAAGCGGTGGCGGCAGCCGGCGGAGGGGCTAGCGTGGAGCCTAGGCTAAACAAGGCAGACGATCCTACGCCTAATGCAGCAGGGGAGCCTACACTACACTCAGGTGACACACCTACACTAGGCAACACAGGGCAATAAGATCCGGGTACACTAGATTCATCAGCATACATGACATGCAAGGCAGATCAAAGCTTATCTCTATCCATCTCAAAGATGGGAACACGGCAGCGTACCAGACTGGGCCAGTCGGGGAGGTCCGAGGCAGGGCCGAAGCGGAGACGGAAGAGGTTGTCGAGGCGGCGGAAGCAGCGAGCGGCAGTGTGGCTGGGACGGCCACACACAGTGCCGCGGAGGGGGCCAGTCTGGAGCTAGTACTGGCAACCTACAGAGCCGAAGCTACCACCCGATGCCGAGTTGCGAAGGCCGATACCGCGGCCACCACCACCAGAGGCACCGGGCCACCCCGGCGGGAGGCGGCCCCACTGCTACGGCTGGTGCTACGACTGCTGCTGCTGCGTCTGCTGGTGCTGCTATGACTGCGGCTACCGCTGCTGCTGCTCCGGGGCACCAACCCCGGTCCTGTTGTCTGAACCACCGTTCCTTCCCCCATCTCCACCACCCCCACCACCCCCACCACCCTTCCCCATGCCACACCCCCCTTGGGGCGACGACCCCTATCCTGACGCGGCTGCGCTGAGGCCGCAACGGCGGTCTCAGCGGCAGGGGATGCCTCAGCAAGAGTGGGAGGAACGTTAGAGTAAGTGCACTGGTAGGGAGCACAGCCCTGAAAGATAGGGACCGCCGCAGTACCGCTAGACTGAGCGATAGTGCGCTGGCAGGTCTCTATTTTGGACAGGGCGGTGACAAAGGCGGTAAGGGTGAGGTCACCAGGGTGCTGACTAAGGAAATGGTCGCGGGCAGTGGCAAGGCAGTCCTGGAGGCGTGTGGCAATAAGGTACAGGGTAGCGCAATGCGGCGGCGGGAATATAGTGAGCTAGGCCTCAATGCTAGTGGGGGGTAGCTAGTCTCAAGGGCGTGGAGGTGAGTGGCAAGGTCAGGGCCAGTGGGGAAGGACGCAAGATTGGGGAACAGTATGGGGAGGATCAAGCAGCCAGTAGAGGCTGTGGCGGGCGTGGAATAGTGTGCAACGACGACATCTAAGAATTCATTACCGTTTGCTACAGTGGTAAAGCGGGGACGCTCATACAGGGGGAGGGCATGACTAATAGCAAGCTGCGCAACGGCGTCGCGCGACTCCTAGACAGCACGAGCAAGCGCAGCAGCAGAAAAGGCCTCACGCTTAGCAAGGGTGGGGGCATCAGAGAGGGCAGTAGGCGTAGGGGGGTGGGGGAGCGTACCATCGACATGAACAGCCAGGGAGTAACCGTCCTGGCGCTGACCTGTCAGGTGATAACGAAGGTCGACGAGCCAGGCCTCAAAGCCGATCGCATGATCCTCCGCATCCAGGCGGAGCACATCGTCCACCATCCCACGACCTCAGCGGCTGACGGTGGCACGGGGACACGGCGGTTCGGCGGTACAGCGGCACGGCGACACGGCGACACAGCGGCACGGCGACACGGCAGCATGGCGGCACGGCGTCATGGCGACACAGCGGCACGGCGTCACGATGGCACAGCGCCACAGCGGCACGGCGGCATGGCGACCCGGCGGCACAGCAGCACGGCGACACGGCGGGACCGGGGTCAGCGCGAAGGAGATCGGCAAGGAAGGGGCTGGCTAGTAAGGGGGGGAGGAGGACGGCGAGCTGGGGGCCGGCTAGTGAGGGGCCGACTAGTAAGGGGCCGGCGAGCTGGGGGGCCGGCTAGCGAGGGGCCAGCGAGCTAGGGGGCCGGTCCGCGCGGGGCCAGCGAGCGCAGGGCCGGGGAGCACAGGCCAGCGAGCGTGGGGCCAGCGGGCGTGGGCCAGCGAGCGTGGGGCCAGCGGGCGTGGGCCAGCGAGCACGGGGCCAGCGGGCGTGGGCCAGCGAGCACGGGGCCAGCGGGCGTGGAACAGCGAGCGCGGGGCCGAGCGAGCGGGGGGCGACAAGGGCGGGCCAGCGAGCGCGGGGCGACGAGGGCAGGCCTACGAGCGCGGGGCGACAAGCTAGGCCAGCGAACACGGGGCAACGAGGGCAGGCCAGCGAGCGCTGGGCTACGAGCGCGGGGCGACGAGCAGGGCCTACAGGCTAGGACTAGGGCTAGGACTAGGGCTAAGCGGAAGCGCGGGTGGGCGAGGAAGACCTAGCCTAGCATGATACCATCTCAAGGTAATGAGATTGACTAGGATAGGGCATACAGGGTAGTTTTGTTCTAAGTGTTGTACTCTCTATGTTATGCTCCTAGCTAGCCTATAAACCTATACAAATATATATATATATATATATATATATATGTTGACAAGACGTGCTCCGGTGTTTGAGAGTGAATTATGTGGCTGATATTTCTGGATCTTATGCATGCAATACACAATTGGACATGGACGAAAACAGCACCCATGGTCCACCCTATTTGTATACACGAATTCACTCCCAGTAAATGTCTCGTATTGTATGTATGTAGTATGCTAAGAGGAAGAGGGATTCTAGAGGCCTGAAGCATAACGAAGTCGTAGTCTAGACATAAGCATTCAAAGTTACTGGCCTTTCCTTTCTGCGCTCCACTATCGAAGGTTGCTCGCCAGCCACATATTTCACCTGCAACAGGCGATGATGAGTTAGGCGTTGCCTACAGATTCGCGGGATGGATGCGTTTGGTCATTGGGTGTCAAGTGGATCTGGGATGGGGCATCTGTTCTACCTTTATCTCAGAGAAAGGACGACATGTGGTGGAAAGGCTCGTAGCGCGCCCCATCTAACCATCCAGTAGGTTTGCTTGAAATCTTGTTGTATGGTTGTGATGCATTGAAAAATCTGTTAGGGTGAAGGCTTCATGCCAAAGTAGGCACAGTTCGGTAGCTTCCACGCCCCTAGCCTTCAGTGCAACGTCAGCGCGAATCCAAAAAGGTCCAGCGCAGTGCGGCTGACAGTCAGTGCTCTTGAGGCATGCTTCCAGCGTGGCAGTGACGCTCACATGAGCGCTGCTCGGGCCTTTTTCGACGAGCCGTCTGTAGAAGGGGTTGGTTGCTCATTGCAGGTCTTTTGAGAAGCAATTTTGACCACAAGCAATTCCCTAACTTAGGGCCCAGGCTAGGAAGGATAAGGTAAGGTTTGGTAGCTGGCTCGTGCAGACAGTGAGGGCACGCAACGAGCTTGCTCGTTCCGTCGAGCTGGCGATCATGTGGTTGAACAGAGGTCCGACAACAAAACCTGCTTCCCAAGCCAAATTTTTCACTTTTGCAAGACTCCCGTCTAGACCACAAGTTTTCATGTGGCCAGAAATGTCGAACTCGCTGGTTTTGGGGAGCGAGCGGCTCGTGCTGGAGATGTGCGGACGGTGGGGTTTGAGAAAAGCGAAAAAGTACCCACCTCGATTGCCACGTCGGCCAAGCACTGGCCGAGGATATTTCGCTTTCCCGCTGATCACACTCTCACCGTCAGATTCGAGCAGCATCGTCCCGCTTGGAATCGAAGCCGTTGCCCAGGTGTTGTGGCTGACACTGCCCGTCTCCCCATGGCAGCAATCCTCCTGCATTGTTGTCAATGGGTTGTTGCTGGCTGGGCCTCCTCCTCCCTCCCTCTTTCAGGAGAGGTTCCTCGAGAATATCCAGGGACACAATACCAGGGAATATCTGTTGACAGAAAACTCCACAGAAGAGCTTTCCTTGCCCAAGAGCTCACTGATTCTTGTGCCTGTACCTAGATTTTGGACATTGAGATGTTTTCTCTCCTAAGACCTTGTTAGGACGCTTTTGTGGCTTATAGTCAGCCTACCTTGATGCTGGTAGGACACTATCGCACCGCGCTTCAGACTGTGGAGCCATCACGATGAACATTCCTCCAGCACTCAGCCTTCAGGTTCGTCGGGTTTCCGCAGATCTATCAGGACGTAGTCACCTGTCTCAATGACCTAAAATGCAGCAGATAGGAGATTGTTTCGTGGCACCATATTTTGCTACTTAGTATTCCGAACCTCCCTGAACTGGCGGAAAGACATGTAGGCGTCATGACCTTCTGACAATGCTTGATGAAGTAGGTAAAGATTTTGTTAACGGCCGATGCGGTTCGCTTATGACAATATGCATGCAGAGGCATACACGTAGTCGTATCTCTGAAAGTTATGAATGTCGTTTCGACCGTCTAGTCAGCTGGGATGCATGACTTCGACCATCCAGAGCAGTCACCCGTCATGTTTTTCCAACTTGGTTGCTGACGTGCTTTCCTCTTATGTCTTTTGCATGTCGTCCCCCCCCAGAGTATGCAGGATGCAGCGGCTGCCGACACAAGCGCTGCGTATTGGAGAGCAGCAGCTGCTGCCGCTGCTGCCGCGGCCGCAGCGTCGTATCTTCCGCATGGACACGGCCACGCGCACGCGCCGTCCACCCCCGGACCAGGCGGTGTCGGCATGGCGATGCACGCGCCGAACTTCCTCATGCAACAAGCTACCACGGGCCACGTCCGGTCGCCTTCGCCGAACTCTATTGCCGCAGGAACCATGGCTGGCCTCGCCTTCTCCTCCTCCGCCGCCGCCGCTGCCGCCGCTGCGTCCGCTGGCGCGGCGATGATGCAGAACTCGCTGTCCATGCACGCGCGCTTCTTCCCCTCGCTGCACCCGCATGCGCACGCCGGCCTCGCGCAGCAGCACCAGCTGCACCAACTGCAGGCCGCCGCGGGCCTCCCAGGAATGGCAACACCGCAGGTGGTGCTGGGAGCGCACGCGCAGGCGTCCATGCCCCACATGGGGCTGCTCCCAGGCCAGCAGGTGGCCATGCATGGCCAGACAGGCATGCTCCCTGGCCTGCCGCTCGCTTCCGACCCCAGCTATCTGGCGGCGCACCACCTCGCCCAGCAGCAGCAGCAACTTCAGCTGCAGCATGAGCAGCAGCAGCAGCAGCAACAACAGCAACAGCAACAGCAGCAACAGCAAATAGCGGCCTTGCCTCCTCCCCCTCCTCCCCCGGCGTTACTGAGCGGTCCGCAAAAGCATTACCAGATGCAGGAGGCGCAGATTCAAAAGCAGCAAGAAGCCGCTCCTCCACAGCAGCAGCAGCAGCAGCAGGGGTCGCATCAACAGGAGCAGCAAGGAGGCGGAGAAGCGGCCAAGAGCCCAGGAAACGGAGGAGACTGGGCCGGCAACGAAGGCGACCTTACAGCCAAGGTATCTTTCGCCTGTTGCCTTCGATACGTGCCTCGGTTTTCCCGCCACCGGTTGCAATCGTGCATCCCCATCGGCAGTGAGATAAGTCCTTACCCCAGTCAGTCTACTAATCGCTTGCGTAGACTTCTCCCGCATGGTGATTGGTGAACTGGAACGGTCGTGCGTGGTGCGCAGGTGCGTAAGCCCTACACCATAACGAAGCAGAGGGAGCGCTGGACTGAGGACGAGCACAGCAAGTTCCTGGAAGCCCTCAAGCTCTACGGCCGCGCGTGGCGCCGCATCGAAGGCAAGCTGCGCGTCTCCCTTTTCCCAACTGCCTCCCTTCTCCCTCGTGTCTTACCCTGCACTTGCCTTGTCCTCGCGTGCCCGTGTTGGCGCCGCATCTCAGCGTGTGTGCGTGCTTGCGTTGCCCGTTTCAGAGCACATCGGCAGCAAGACGGCCGTGCAGATCCGCAGCCACGCGCAGAAGTTCTTCACCAAGGTACGCCGCCGCTCGTCGCTCTGCTCTCTCACCCACCCCCATGCCCGCTCCCTCCTGCAACAGCCGTTCGTCCCCTCGCCCCTCTTGAATGATTCTCATCACTCGGTGCTCCTCGTGCCACTGTCCCCCTTACCCCCCGCCAGCTGGAGCGCGACGGCACCTCAGCGGCGACCTCGCAGATGGACATCGAGATCCCCCCGCCGCGGCCCAAGCGCAAGCCCGCGCACCCGTACCCGCGCAAGGCGGGTTCCGCCACCAGTTCGCAGCCGCAGCAGCCGCAGCGGCAGCACAGCCAGAACAGCCTTTCAAAGCCTCTCCAGCAGCCTGCACCCGCCCTCCTCCCCCCTCCCCCTCCGCCCCCCAAGGCACTGCTTCCGTGCATGAAGCATCCGCAGCTGCCGCAGCAGCCGGCGCAACCAACACAGGCTGTGCAGGTGAACCAGCCTGCAGCAGCGGTGCAGCAGGCGGCAGTCGGAGAGAGGAGCGCACACAAGGGGCTACAGGCAACTTCACCGCAGCAGGCAGAGGCAGAAGGAACAGAGCAGCAGCAGCAGCCGCAGCAGCAGCAGCAGCGGTCGAGCCGTCAGGTGTCCCAGGGGCTGAGTTCGCAGCGCACGCAGTCGCAGATGTCGCGGTCGCTGGTGCCCGTGTCGTCCGACCAGTCGTGCGGCAACGAGCGCGCCGACGACGGCCACGAGTCCAAGTATGTCTCCCCTCCCCATGCCGCCGCGCCTGCCGTCGCCGTTGCTGCATACAACGATGTCAACGCTGCACACGCTGTGCGCTCGCCTGTAGGTAAGCGTGACGCTGCTGGTCCCAACGCGTGCATCTCGCCGTTGTCGTCGCCGTCAGCACCCGGCGATCAGCCCATCCGGCAGTCGCCCGACCAGCGCAGCACTCTGAAGCTCTTCGGCAAGACGCTCGCCACCCCAGTCGCCATGGCCGCACCACCCCCAGCAGCGCCACCCGCATCCCTGCCACCACCTGCTCCCAGAACCACCATTCCTCGTGCCACCGCACCTGGTGCCGCTGGTACTGCTGCTGACCACAGCCCCCTGCGCTCGCCGTCGTTCCATCCGCCTCTGCTGTCCCTTGCGACCCCCCCTCCTGCTCCTGCACCGCTCTCTGACCCGCACCACTGGCGCTTCAGCCATGCGGCGGGTAAGGGCAGTGCAAAGGACGAGCAGAAAGTAGAGGAGGAGGAGGGCGAAGATCCTCCCATGGTGACGCGGTCACTGTCGCTTCCAGTCCCTCGGACTGCTGCTGTCCTCCCAGAGGAGTCGCAGGGCCTGTCACTCTCAGGGGCGCCACAGGGACACGGCAAGCGGGCTGCGGGGGCGGGCGCAAGAGGAGGGGCGGATGAGCGTGGGCGCGTGGAGCACCTGAGGGTAGCGGCGGCGCAGCAGGCGCTGCGGTCGCTGAGCGTGACGGGGCACGACGCGTCCACGTCAGCGTGCGCCAGCTTCTCCGACCGCTCCGTCGTGCTCGAGTCAGGCCTCTCCACCGAGCCCCTCCCCGCCCCCACGCCGCAACCACCGCGCATGCCGCAAGGGGCGGACCGCCGAGGTGTATTATCGGCGGCAGAGGCGCGTTTGGGACATGGACGCGCGGGAGGGAGGGAGGAGGGAGCAATGCGAGAGATGGCGGAGGGCGGCCCAGGCGATGCTGCTGTGGGCGCGGGCAAGGCGGAGGTGGAGAAGACGGGGGCGGAGGACGCACCAGCGAGCCCAGTCAAGGTTGCGACTCCCGCGGGCGTCATCTCGCCCACGCTCCTCCCCGCCCTCTTCCAGCAGTCCGCCACAGCAGCGGCGCTCAAGCCAGGCGTGGCGCAGGCGCAGTACATGGAGCAGCTGCTCGGGTACCCCCCTGCCCCGCCCCCCTTCAACCCCGCCGCCAACGCAGCAGCAGCCACAGCCGCAGCAGCTGCAGCAGCCACGGCCGCTGCGCTTGGCTCCTCTGCAGCAGCAGGCCTGGCTGCCAGCGCTGCGGCGAATGCTGCTGGGCTGAGCCAGCAGCAGCAGGAAAAGGCGAGGGTGGAGACGGGAGGAGGGGAAGGGGAGGCAGGGCAAGGGATGGAAGGAGTGGCAGCAAGTGAGAACGCCAAGCAAGGTGCGGCTGTGGCCGCAATGGACGGTGGTGCAGCGAGTCCCAGCCAGCTTCCGCCAGGCGTGGCGTCGCAGTGGTCGCCAGCGCTCATGCCATCCATGGCAGGTCTCTCAATGCTCAATGCCGCCGCTGCCGCTGCTGCCGCCACCACCGCTGCTGCTGCCACCACGGCTGCCCCCTCCCATCGCCCCCCCTTCGACTACGCCGCTGCCGCCGCTGCTGCAGCAGCTGCTTCAGCGCGCGGTACTGCCACCTTCCAGGAAGCTGCTGCCTCAGCTCAGATGGCTGCAGCAACTGCTGCCGCGATGGGGCTGCAGTTTCCCGGGTGCTTCATGCCGGGAGGCGAGGACGTGGTGCAGCAGCAGCAAATGATGTTCCCGTCGCCCTTCCCCTTCGTCGACTTCCACTCGCCCGGCTTCCACCCCATGCACCACCCTGGCTACCTGCTCTCGCCCTACCGCGCGCCCATGCCCCACCCGCACCCGGCGGCGGCGTTCCAGACGTTCGACTCGTACCTGCGCATCTACGGGCCCGCCTTCGCCTCCATGGGCGCCACCACCTTCGCCGCCTGGCACGCCCCGCGCCCCCAGCACCAGCAGCACCAGCTGCAGCAGCCAGGCCGCCCCCAGCTGCTGCCTGCCAGTCATACTCCCGCCGCCGCCGCCACAGCTGCTGCGCCCTCTGGTTTGTGGCCCTCGGCGCCGTTTCTCGCAGCTCAGGCGGCAGCAGGTGGGACGGAGAGCCCTACCAAGGCTGTGGAAGCAGGCACGGCAGGCGGGGTGTCAGGTGCTGCCGCAGTGCCTCCAAGTGCTGCCACAGTAGCTGCTCCTGGCGCTGCCGCCACTGCCGGCAGTCTTGGCGCGGGAGCGGGTGCTGCTGCAATCCTTGGCAGCACTGCTGCCGCCACTCTCGATGTGCGGCTCTCGTCACCGCCAGCGCCTCCGCGCACCCTGTCAGACGACGACCCAGCAGCAGCAGCCATGGCCGTGACCATGGCAGCTGCGTCCGCGTGGTGGGCGCTCCAAGGCTCCATGCCGCCCGGCGTCTTCCTCCCCATGTCGCCCGCGCAGGCCTTCCGCCCCCCATTCAACGGTGTCACGCCTCTCCCTGCCGCCGCCGCTGCTGCCACTGCTATGCAGCTCGGGTGGCCGGGTGCAGGGGAGGGCGAGAACGGACGGAACGGTGGAGGTGGGGAGGCTGATGCAGCCACTGCAGGTGCGCCTGGTGGAGGTCTTAGTGGTGCGGGCGTGACTCCTGGTGCAGCTGCGGATGCCGGCTTTGTCAAAGCCACGCTTGCAGCACCCCAGCAGCCACAGCAGCAGCAGCAGCAGAAGCAGTTGGAGATGGGTGGAGTGGTGGAGACAGGGGACGATGGGGGGGAGGGGTCATCTGGTAAGGCGATTCCCGAGGGCGTGCAGGGCAAGGCTGAAGCGAACGACACGGCGTACAGCGCGTCGCAGAGCCAGGGGGGTGAGGACACACTCGGGGACACGGACAACGATGGGGGGGGTGTGGGGCCAGACGAGGAGGGGGAGGAGGATGAGGAGGAGGAGGAGGAGGAGGAGATGGGGGGTGAGGAGGGAGGGTTTGTGGCGCGGGTGAAGGGCAGCAGGGAGGAGGGGCAGGAGGGGCAGGAGGGGCAGCACGAGGAGCTGCGGCTCATGGCCAGCGAGCGGGAGGCCCTCGCCGCCATGCTGCAGGGCGTGAACGCGGACGTGGATGCTGACGTGGACGTGGACGTTCAGGAGTCCCAGCAGACGGTGGTGGGGTCGTCGGCGCCAACTGGAGCCAGCAAGGCGGCGGACACCGGCACAGAAGGGAAGCACGCAGGCATGCGAACGTCCTTGCCTGGGCGTGCGGGTGACGCCAGGCCGCTCGTGCATGGGCACAGCCCGCAGCAGCATCATGTGGAGCAGCACAGGAGCATGGCCTTTTGCAGCGAGGCTCGCAAGGCCACCATGAGTCCTGCAGACGGCGCCATGGGGCCGTGCACCGACTCGTCGCCCTCCGTGTGGGGCTCCAACTCCACGCCGCCAGACAACGCCCACACGGCCAGGCTCAACGGTAATGGAACCAGTGACAACGGACACACGCCTCAGAAGGAGCCCCACAGGAGGCAGGGTGAGCTGGATCATGGGCAGCAGCGTGTGGCGCTGGCAGCAGGCGAGCAGCAAGGCCGCAACAAGGATGCCTGCTGCTCCACCCCCCCACTCCCACGCAGCCCTGCTGCTACTGCGCCTGCTCCCGCTCCCGCTTCTCGGCCTGCTGGACTGCCTGCCAGCCCCACCAACCAAGGTGCTGCTGGCGCCACTGCTGTCAATGCTGCCACTGCGGTGGCCGGTGCTGCTGCTGCTGCGGCTGTCTCAAAGCAGGAGAAGTGGAGGCTACCCCGTGAAAGGGGCCGCGCGCCACATGCACACAACCACACAGCACATGCGCATGGGCATGGTCATGGGCACAGGCATGGGCAAGCGCACATGGACCGCAGCGGGTCGAACATGGGTGCGAGTGCAGCAGCGTCGACGGCAGAAGCAGCGGGCACTGCAGTGGCGGACAAGAGGGAGCAGTCGAACCTCATTCGCAAGCTGCGCTCCATGGAGAAGTTCAAAGTCCGCCACGCCGCTGCTGCGCCCAGCGGCGGCGCCGCTAATGGCGCTGAAAGTGCGGTGGGCGCTGCCACTGCCACTGCTGACGAGGTCAGTGTGAAGATGAGCGCCTGTGGCCCAGGGGTGGGTGGGGGAGAAGGAGCGGGCTCCGGGGGGGGGGAGGGCAGTGGAGGGGAGGGGGCGGAGGGGGCCACGGATGGCCAGCACGGAGGAGCAGAGGGAAGAGGCGCAGGGAGGGAAGGCGAGGCGGCGAAAGCAGGGGGAGGCGAGGGAGGAGGGAAGGAGGGTGTGGAGATGGCGGGGGAGAACGAGGGGCCGCGGAGGAAGCGGCTGCGAGGCCACTCCATGAGCGGCAGCAACACGCCCCCCCCCGTCACCAGACCAGCCCCGCCCTCTGCAACGAAACCCGTGCCAGCGGATGGCACAGGGGTGGAAACAGCAGCGGCAGGGGTAGCAGAGCAGCAAGGGGACGTCCGCGCCACCCCCTCGTCCTCGGGAAGCCGCGGGCAGAACGGCAACGTGGGGGGCAGTGGCAGCGGCACCAAGAACGAGGGCGCGGGGGGGCCCGAGGGCTCGGGGGAGAACGGGCCTAGCTCCAACTCGTCCGAGTGCGGGAACGAGGCGGGCGGGGAGAGGCTGGGGAGGTCGAGCGACGGGGGAACGAGTGAGAGGGAGGCGTGCAAGAGGCAGGAGAGGGACGGGTCGGAGGAAGGGGGGACTGCTAAGAGCGAAGTGAAAGGACTGGCTGACGGTGATGCTGGTGGGGAGAGTGATGGGAAAGATGTGGAGGAAAAGGCAGAGGCGGTGAAGCATGTGGACGAGAGGCGTGAGGGGGAGGGGGAGGAGGAAGAGAAGGAGGATGAGAACAACGAAGAGGAGGACGGTGAGGGTGAAGAGATGGATGCTGCGAGGCCAAAGGAGGAGGGGACCAAGAACGAGGGGGAACGAGTTGGAGGTGGTGACGATCGGAGTGCCAAGAGGAGGAAGGTGCAGGCGGACACGGCAGGGGAGGACGGGTGCTCGAGGGTAGTGGGAGGGCCGCCGCAGGGCAGCAGTGCGCCCACGGCTGGCAGCAGGTCGCACACGCCGCTCAGCCTCACGGTGCCGCATGCGCTGGTGGTGGGGCAGCACAGGCGAGACACGGTCAGCGCTGCCGAGGCGCAGCAGCACAAGGAGGGCGGTGGCGACACCAACGCTGGGGATGGCCTGGAGCAGCTGCTTGGGAAGAAACGAGGCGGGCAGGAGATGGGAGTGGCTGGTGGGGAGCGCAAGGGCGAGGAGGCGGAGGGGTCGGCGAATGAAGCGCGAGAAAGTGCAGCGAGGCCCGGGCGTACGGAGACATCGCAGGTGGTGGGCGCAGGCAGGCGCGAGCTGCGAGGCGACGGCCAGTCCGTCTTCCGACCGCTGCACAGCCTCCCCCCTAAGGTGACGCCCCCACATGCCCCTCCTCGCCTCCTCCCCCCTCCCCCCTCCAAGACCGTCGCCCCACCTGTATGTGCGGCCGCCCAGGATGAAGGCACCCCGGCTGACGCTGCTGCTGCCAGCGCTGGCGGTGAAAGAAGGGAAGGAGACAAGGGCGGTGAGGCAGGGACGAGGGAGGAGGGCGAAGTGGCGCGTACGGTTGGGAGAGTGGACGAGGAGGTGCGATGGAAGGAGGGTGAGACGAGACAGCGGCGGAGAGGCAAGGAGAAGCGGACAGTGGGGGGTGAGGCGGTGTTGGGGCAGGAGAGCCGCAAGCATGGGAGGGACGAGGAGGAGAATAAGGAACGCGTGTGTGATTTGACTCAAGACAGGAGGCAGCAGCACGTGCACCAGCACCAGCACCAGCACCAGCATCAGCACCATCATCAGCAGCCCCCTAGCAGCAACGCCCCATCTCTCCTCGCGGGCATGCGCATCGTGGGTCCATCACTGCCCATGCCCTCCTCCCCCAGTGCGGATCCCTCGTCCAGCAACAGTGCAGGGGCGGGCGTGCACCATCACTTCCACTACCACTACCACAGTGCCGTCAGCAGCGCCAAGCACCGCGCTGCCTCCTCCAAGCAACCCACCACCGCTGCTACGGCAGCTGCTGCCATTGCTGCTGCTGCTAAGGTTGAGGCTGTTGTCTCTGCTGCCGGTCCTTCTGCCGCCCTCAGTGCTCCCTCAGGCCCGGAAACCCCGAGCCTGAGGTCTGGAGAAGGGGGTGAGGGCTACGGGGGAATTGTGCAGTGCAGCAAGGGGGAGAGCAGCGAGCTGGGGGAGGGGGCGGTGAAGGAGGTGGGGGATGGGGGAAGGGGTGGGAAGAGCAGTGGTGCAGTGGACGATGGTATGGCTGACGAGAGAAAGACAGCTGCCCTGCTGCAGGTGTGATTGATGCCCCATGCCCCTCATCTCTTGCTGCCCACTGCCTCTCTCTATTGTCAGCTCCCATGTCCCTCCATCTGCCCCCCCACTCATGTGTCCTCTTGTCTTTCCCCTCCCCGCCTCGCCCCCCTGCCCTTGCGCTGTGCGCTGCCAGGCCGAGGCAGTCCACAGGTGGAACACTGAGGGCGCTCCGGGGGTTGACCTGCAGTGCAGGGAGGCAGGGCCACACGGGATGAAGGCCCGCCTGCCCGACAAGCTGCTGGGCGACGCGGCAAGCAAGCAGGGCGAGCGGCACCGGCCACGGCAGTACCAGCAGAAGCACCACCACAATCACCGCTTCCACCCCTACAGCCCGCACAAGGAGCACAAGGAGGCGAGGAATGGGACAGGGTATGGTGTGATCGCTGCTAACATGCCTGACAGGGATGTCAACTTCGAAATGGGGGAGCGGGAAGGCGAGCAGATGCAACAGGACGAGGGTGGAGGGGTTGTGATGCGGCCCTGAGAGGGATTGTTGATAGGATTCTTCATAAAAGGTGGCCTGTTCTGACTTAATTGCAGGCTACCTGTGCCTTAAGCTGATGTAAGTTTGAACATTATTATTGATTTCCTCGCCCATTCCTCGCCTGAATTGCCCATGTTCCATCCTTGCCCTATTGCCTATGTGGTTAAAAGTAAGCTCAGCTGAGGGCGTATGTCTAGGAACAAAGCTTCATATTAGAAATGCCAAAAAAGAGCCTGAATTCTCTCCCCCAGTTCGAGTACACCGGGATCAGATTAAAGCCGCGGTACACATTCAACGTGGCCCGGGCGGGATGGAAATGTGGAGGTCACGAAAGGGGGGCGGAAGTGATTGGAGGGCGAGAGGCGAAGTAAAACTTCTGACGCGAATTGGGCTGAGTTTCGTTGAGGGGAAAAATGACTTGCGATACTGGGGGAAACAGATTTGTGTTGGGGCTTTGGATTTCGCAGGGTGGGGGGAATCGAACTTGACGGGGGGAATTGGATTTGCGAGGGACGGGGGGAACTAAACTTGACTGGGAGGGATTTGGACTAGCGAAGGGAAGGGGGAAACGAAATTGACGGGGGGGGGGGGGGGGTTGGACGAGCAAGGGGTGGTAGGGGGAATCAAATTTTGGGGGGGGCAGGGGGGTGTTTCGAAATTGGGGGGCCAGGGGGAATCGAATTTGAGGGGGCAGGGGGGAGTTTCGAGACCGGGGGGCCAGGGGGAATCGAATTTGAGGGGGCAGGGGGGAGTTTCGAAATTGGGGGGCCAGGGGGAATCGAGATTGTTGGGGGAAGGGGCGATCGAAAACGTGAGGGAAAACGTGAGGAAGCGGGGATGAGAGTCGACAGGTAGAGATCGGGATTCAGTACACAAATGCCAAAATCCCCCCTCAAATGTTTATCTGCAGGTAGCGAGACCTCGCCACCTCCAGCAGGCATCACTCAGTTACCACTGTTTCAAACGTTTATCACTTGAAACAAATTGAAGTGAATGTGTACCATGGCTTTAAAGGACCTCCCTCCCACAGTACATCAGCGCCTCATGCCCTTGCGGGTTTGTGCGGCGTCGCCTCGCCAATCGACCACTTTTGGGGGTGTCTGATCTGCAGGCTGTAATACAGCAAGCTCAGAAACATTTCTGGAACTGAGATTTGCTCGTATGAATTCCCCTAGTTCATGGTGCCCCGCCATATGCTATGCATGTACTGAGGAAATGATGCAGTCTTTTCCAAGGGGAGAGCCCCAGGTGGTATGCAGGGCGAGGGGAGAGCCCCATTTGGTGAAGCAGGGCAAGTTCCATTATTGAAGCATACGGTGTGAATATTTTTTTCGCACGGTACTCATCTCAAACAGCACAAGTACATGCATGGCAACCAACCCCTCCTGGACCCGCTTCCCCATCCCAACGGCACGTACGCTACCAATTTCTCTCTGCCATGGCAAGCACACACGCACACACTCACACACAAGCTGCTGATGTGAACACAATGCCTGATGCCAACTCTGCCCATGCTGATGCCATTGCAGCCAGGCTCCTACCCTTCCATCAAGCACCATGCCGGCCCGGCCACTGGGGTCCTAAGGCTGCCCCACAGCCCCCATGGGTCCTCCCGGGCCACCCTGGAAGCCCACCAGATTGCCGCCCCACTGCATGCCCGAGTCACTGTTCACTGCTAGCACTGCCAGCCCGGACGCATTCACTGCTGCTGTCACCGCGGCTGCAGCTACCTCGGGCGTCACAGTGGCAGGGGAGGTGCCGTCGCTTCCGGGGAAGAGTGCGGCAGTTGCCTTGGCCAGGGAGGAGAACATGCCGCTGTCCTGCCCGTCATCCTTGCCAGAAGCAGCCTCGCTAGCAGGCACTGTCTCCTCCTGGGTGCTGCTGACGGGCCAGAACAGCCCCAGCAGCCTCCTGCCCATCATGGGCGAGAAAGCAACAGGCGCAGGCAGGCTGCCAGGTGCTGCGATGTTGGTGCCGTTGGGAGGAGGGGGGAAGGAGCCGTTGAGAGGAGGGGGGAAGGAACCGTTGAACGTCCCATTGAAGGCGGGAGGCAGGGTGCCGTTGAAGGTGCCATTAGGGGGAGGGCCCATATGAGGAGGAAAGGGGAAGCCGCCGTTCATGGTGCCGTTGGGTGCGAAAGTGCCGTTGAAGCTCCCATTTGGGGGGAACTGCCCGAAGCCGCCTACGGGAGGGAAGGGCATGGTGCCGTTGGCAGGGGGGGCAGGCAGCGTGGCGTTGGGCACACCGGAGAGGATCGCCTCCACTGCAGTGGCGTCCGCGTCCTCAACGAAGCCCTGCAGGTGGGCTTCGGCGCGCAGCAGCCACCATCCCGAGTGTGCCACCCAGTTCTCAGCAGCGGCCGGCAGAGACAGCAGCTGGGCGGCAGAGGAGTCGCACCCGGCGCCCTGCATGATGGCGAGCGAGTCGGGGGGCGCGCCGGAGACGTCGAGCAGCAGCGCTCCGAAGAACAGGTTGTAGTTCCCCGACGCGTTCTTGAACACGTCCAGGAAGAACGCGCCAGGCGCCGCGGGAGATGCGGAGGAGGAGCAGTTGGCGAAGGCCGCGGACACGTGGCCTGTGAGGTTGCCCACCACCGTCAGATTCAACGGACAGCCGCCGCGTCCTCCGGGGCCTCCGGGGCCTCCGGGTTCGCCTGGACCCCCCATTCCCGGGCCCATGCCTCCAGGCTGGGCAGCAGCTGCACAATAGCAGGCACATTGGGAAAAGAGGGGTTTGAAATCTGATGAGAGAGTGACATTCCTTCAGATGCGAAAACATTTAGTTATGGCGAAGAGAATTGCAGGCAGTCCGAGATGAGAGAGTAGAGACTTACCAAGAATGAAACCGAGAACGAAGAACGCCATTGCCTTGAGCGCGCCTGCCATGGTTGAGAGACTAAGCTGGATGCGTCGCTGGTTTCAGTTGGTGTGTCCAGGTTTCCAGAGAGGGGCAGTGTGGTGTGGAAGAATGTTTCCAAATCTCAATGTCTCAGATTCTGCTAGCCCCTCCTTTTCAACTGCGGCCTCAATTTCGCCTCCGAAGCGCGCTCAGTTTCGGCTCGCGTCGGTCTGGGTTGACTTGACGAGTCGCGAGCAGCTGGAAGGGCGAACATCAACGAACAGTCAACGGGGGTAGGAAACGTGGACCTGGATGTCAGCTACTGTACCAGCCTAATCACCAGTCATCAAGCACTCGCGAAACAAGCTGGTAACCGAACGGCAGCCAGACTGTTCAAAGGCAAAGGGGGTTCGAGCGAGCTCATCCCGTCCCGATAGCCACGATATAAAACGCCTCAACATCTGGAGGTGTTTATGTGAAGGAAAATTGAAAATGGAATGAGGCTCAGAAACAAAAACATACACCATTGTGGTGTGCGAAGTATAATGCTATGAATTATAGCTCATCGAATACCCCAGTATTCAATAAGGGAAACGTGATTACAGCGCGTTGATAGAAATGAGTCCTAGGCAATATACTGTATAGGGCGATTGACCAGGGTTGAATGTCGAAGGTTGGACCAGTCAAGGGCTCGATAGTCACGAGGGTGACGGGGTCAAAATGGGTTCGGGGCGACTCAGGATGAGGTTGGGGCCGAATAGGTCGGCTGGGGCTGGTTTGGCGTGTGGCTTGAGGACCGAGCCTGCGGACACAAACTGTTCGCGTGTACTCGCTCAAGCGAGCCCCAGTAAGGAATGGTAATTCCTTACACTCTCCCACTTTCTGAAGGAAGGCACTCCATTTATCGAGGCAGAACAGTAATTAAATGTAATCCCCGATGTGACTGTACGTCTTCAGCCCTGTGACGAGCGTAATGATTACGCCGGCTTGACGAGGTCTTGAGGTCGAACTGAAATCGATTGTCAGAAAGCGTCGAAACGATAAAGGTACAGTAGATCCTGATCGTCGAATCTTTACGGGCGCAATGATGACGAGACTCCATGAGGTAAAATTCCATCCAACGGCTGAGACATGTCGCAGCGATCATAATCTATCGGAGTCGTTGAAGATTATCAACTTCTTCAGCTGACCGAACGGGCAATGGCGAAAACTCCCAAGTGACGAAATGATGAAGATGACCGATGATGTTAAATAGTTAACTATCGCGTGGGCGGGTTATGATGACGCGTTGCAGGATGACAATGATGATTGCCGAATGACGTGGTCAATGAAATGAAGAATCCGCTCATCAAACGCGAGGTCATTCATGTCACAAGCGAGAGCACGCGTCCGTGTTCCAAGTCAGCGAACTCCATCAACAAAGTGACGAAATTAGGTGCGGAAGCGGAACGGTGACGAATGTAGGTCGCAAATGGGTGATGGAACAGGCCGGAATGGTCAGACGAAATCTGCAGTGCAGCTGCCCTTCTCCCCCCCTCCAAGTTGAAACAACTCCCAACTTCCCAGCTAAAACTCCAGGAAACCCAATGCTCCAGGGTAGTCGAAATAATCCCACACTGCTGCTTAAAATCCCATAAATCTACTTCGAAGATGCCGCTGCAAAACTCCACCCGCGAGAAATCCCAAATACGCTCAAAAGGTGAAATTCCTCTGCAAGTAAACCGCTCCAAAGATATTGAAACTCAGAAGTAACTGCTCCGGAAGACTCCCTTACGAACTGAAAATTATGCACGAGTAGGAACACTGTTTGCGAGCTGGTCCCAACACAGCTCCAACGGTACGGTTGCAAAATCTTCTCGCTTCGATACTGCTGCTGTTGATTCGGATGGCGAGGCGAGGTCATGTTCACACAATCAGGCGAATGGAGGTGGTAGCGGGTGGTGGCGAGAGGAAGCCAACGATGTCGATGGTCTGTAACCTGTACTGAACCACTCTAGTGAAAAACCTCAAACGGAACCCGGGGTTGAATGACGCCAGCTGCTTCGGTTTCTTTGTCCGTACACGCGAAAATATTAGGGAAGAACCGAAACAGCTACAGCTCTCCCTCCGCTCCATGTACCCAGAGTACTCCGCAAAATTCGATCGATGTTGCTCGTACCCCCCATGTTAGCGGGTACTGCTCCAGCTGTAAGTCCATGAACCGCTCCAAAAAAAATGTCGGAACTCCATCAATACTTAACGAAGATTGCAACACTGCTTCGCAGCTACCCGTACGAACTGTCGAAAGCCGCGACGTCGT